GATGACATGGAGGAGAGCCGTGGGGAGTCAGCTGATGAAGGACTGGTCTTTAGTGGTGGTATGGGTTGATGACATGGAGGCGAGCCGTGGGGAGTCCGCTGATGAAGGACTGGTCTTTAGTGGTGGTATGGGTTGATGACATGGAGGAGAGCCGTAGGGTGTCAGCTGATGAAGGACTGGCCTTTAGTGGTGGTATGGGTTGATAGTATGGAGGCGAGCCGTGGGGAGTCCGCTGATGGAGCACTGGTCTTTAGTGGTGGTATGGGTTGATGACATGAAGGAGGGCCGTGGGGAGTCCGCTGATGAAGGACTGGCCTTTAGTGGTGGTATGGGTTGATAGTATGGAGGAGAGCCGTGGGGAGTCCGCTGATGGAGCACTGGTCTTTAGTGGTGATATGGGTTGATGACATGGAGGAGAGCCGTGGGGAGTCCGCTGATGAAGGACTGGTCTTTAGTGGTGGTATGGGTTGATGACATGAAGGAGGGCTGTGGGGAGTCCGCTGATGAAGGACTGGCCTTTAGTGGTGGTATGGGTTGATAGTATGGAGGAGAGCCGTGGGGAGTCCGCTGATGGAGCACTGGTCTTTAGTGGTGATATGGGTTGATGACATGGAGGAGAGCCGTGGGGAGTCCGCTGATGAAGGACTGGCCTTTAGTGGTGGTATGGGTTGATGTCATGGAGGTGTGATGACTTGAAACTCAGTCTTTGAAAGGCATTTAGAAGTGATACACATAAGGAAGAGAATTAATAAATGGCAACTTCTTTATTATACTAGGAACACAACATTTCGGAGTATATGCTTACTCCTCCATCAGGTGACGTGAAACTGGATAGAAATGTTTCTTTGATATCTAAAATACCAATGTTTTGGGATATATGTTTCATATTTTCCTAAGCATAGTAAATTTTGACAATGTTTACAACACATCAAATTTTATGCACCAAAATGATAAGAATGGATTCAACTTGGAAATCTCTTGCAAGTACAATAAGCGAGATGCTCAGTGGGAAATAGAAAGCGGAATATGTAGCATGTCCTAACAATAATCATCTTTGGGGCAAGCGTGTCCACTCGCCTCTATGAAAGCCTAGTTTCTACCACATCAAGGCCACTTTTCTTGGCTCGACCCTGGCGCCACCTTGCGTAAATCACGAGTTGCGCCCCTTGTAATGAAAAGGCAATATCCAATCAGATCACTGTTCTTATCTATAGCTTCCATAGACAACCATAGGTGACGACCTAGTCCATCAGATAACAAAAACATTCGCGATTTCACCCCTTACACAAAAACATAGGCAATTGTTGTGGTGTTTAAAAGATGTCAACAAAGACAGGCAGCGGTAAATCACCTTCATACGAGGTGTACCAGTCATGGATGTTGATTTTGTGAAAAGTTCTCTGATTGGACTATCGATATGTGGGATACTCCAATCATATTTAGCACAGGAAAGTGGGCTTGATGTGGCAAGGGTGGAAACAAGACTTTGATAAGAAGGCTAGCGGACGCTCTTGCCTCAATCTTGTGATGATGGAAAGATATGCTGCTTGGTTTGTGCCCTGTTGAGCACAGCCGTCATCAGGTTGACAGCTGTGTGGCAAGATGTCAGTTTATAAGCTATCCCAAAAGCAGTTACTTTACAAGAAAGCAAATGTCATCCAAACTTTAAAAAACTATGTATTTAAATATCTGGTATGTTTTGGGTTGACAATCCTGTTGCACCAGCCCACGGCCATCTTGGATTTACCAGTGTTACGTCTGTTGTATCTCGCTGTCATCAACCCAAACTGGCTCAAACGCCAAGAGTCTTTATTTCCCGCTATGTGACTACAAGTGATGTAATAACATGTCATGATAGAACATGATGTCACAACCTGACCTCCGGGTCACAGTCAGCTCATCAATTGACCTTGACCTTACAATGTGGCTCAATAAAGAAGGACACAACAACCATTTTGTAGGGGGGCGATAGGGCACCTTGTGGTTAAAGCTTTCGCTCGTCAATCCAATGTTAAGACCATCTCTTTGAATTCCTTTGAATGCTCATCCCTATTACAACATCCAGCCACCATACCAGGGTTAGAACTAAAATCAAAAGCTCTACTTGCCCTGGAAAAGGTAAAATGCCGTTGTAATGTTAAAACAATAGGGAAAATGGAAAGATTGTACTAGCTCGTAGGAATTTGTACTATCGCCGGGCTCTGGGGCTAGTGTTGAGTTCTCATCCTGCATACTGTTTGATTATAAATACCTGCACCAACTTGCTTCCAAAGGTTCATACCCTGTCCAGTTTGAGTGACACAATGCTGAAAATAACTATCCAATCAAATCACATGCACGAGAAATTCTGTGGGAAGTTGCTGACAAGAGAGGTATTGAATGGTAACCTCACTTTTAAATATAATTGGTAAAAGTTGCACAAAAAAATACAATATTGGATTTTATTATTTCTGATAAAATTATAAAGAAAATGTGTGTACACGTGATTGCTATTTCCGGCTTAGTTTACAAGAAAATACACATGGAAATTTGTATTTCTTCTTTTAACACAATCCCTACAGAACAGGAAATACAATTTAAATGGTAAATCATCTTATCATACCTCCATGTCTGAATGATGTGATCTGATTGGTCCATGTGATCTTGAAATTTTCTACTTGAGTTACATCATATTTCCATTTTAATTTCAATAACACCAATATAGAATAGTACGGAGAAACAAATACAGAAAACTCACACCAAGAATATCACTTGCAGCTTAATAGCTTAGCACTTCTCAGTCATCAGTTACACCTGTGAAGATCTGAAGTAGAATAGGTCTTCAGCAACCCATGCTTGTCCTAAATGGTGACTATGCTTGTCGTAAGAGGCATCTAACAGGATCGGGTGGTCAGGCTCGATGACTTGGTTGATGCATGTCATTGTATCCCAATTGTGTGTATCAATACTCATGATATCAATCACTGGATTGTCTGGTCCAGACTCGATTATTTACAGCCCGATTTCACGCTGCGTGCATACAGAGACCATCAATACTTCATATTAATATTTTGAAATACAATGTTGTCAGTGACATTATTTCATAAAAATATTAAGTAAGTTTGCATGTTTATTGTTTTACTTATGAACTCATAACAATAGATGTGAGCTCTGGCAAAACAAATGTAATGATTATTAATCTATTTGTTGTCAGCCGATAAGCACCACAAAGAGCTATCAATTGATTGTCAATTAGTGAAGATGATATTTTCCGTTGTTTCTGTTGACACATTAAAAAATGTGTATGAACAGAGTATAACTGTTTCTAAGATAGATATTTTCAAAATCTAGATGATTCAATCTAACTTCCCAATTGAAAAAATAAAGGATGCTGTGTGGTGCTGGGTGCACTACCACGCCAAATTCACACTTTACTGTAGCAGTATGTGGGGAAATCAGTCACTGTGACGACAGTTTCACATAACAGGATAATTAGTAGTGTTTAACACTTTAAAATATATTTTTTTCAATATTATTGACCACAAATGGATTAAACTTTTATCTGTAGCCATTAAAATTCCTACAGGTTCATTATCTCCCGTCACAAAGTGGAAGGGGGATATAGGAATGGGTGCCGTCCATCTGTCTTTCCGTCCTTCTGTCCTGTCCTGTCCTGCCGTCCGTCCGTCTGTCCGGAGCAGAACACAAAAACCATGAGAGATATCTTAACCAAACGTGGCACATAGATAGGTCTAGTGGTGAACTGGTACCTTTTGATAGTTTGGGATTTAAAATAAAATTATTTTTCCATTTCCATGGCAACCTCTTTGACTTAGACTGAAAATGGCGATAGTCCTCGTTTCCGGAGCAGATCTTGAAAACCGTACCATATTTCTCCATCAAACGTGGCACATAATGTCATCTCACAGTATTGAACACATTTCCTTTCTTGTTGGCAAGCTCTGCATTGCTTGTGTGTATGTTCCTCCAAAGTGTCATGGACACGGTTGATGCATTTACTGACTAACTTCATGCAGAAACTTGAGGATCTCTCAGATGTTTGGTGCTGTACTTCTCACTACACCTCATGGCGACCCCTGCTCTCATTGATCTCTAAGTAAAGTAAGAACTCCCTTACTTCTCTCATTATTGTTTAAGTAATAACACAACTCATTACAAATACAACAGTGTAACTGATCTTAAACCTACTCAACTGTATAAACACTGCCTCCTATCCTGTATATATTCTTGTCAACCACACTCTGTACTTCACATGCTTGATAACTGTGTTAGAACCTACCCCGAAACGTTGCGCCTAATTGTAATAAAGAAGTTGTTCGTCCATATGTCTCATCCTTACTCATTACAAATTCAGTTACATATTCTATCATAAACTGCAGATGGCAAAACAACACCAGTAATAACTTTTTTTAGTGCTGCAATTAGACCATTCACACCAGGAGCTAATGCATGCATTGCACACAATCGGACACGTCATATTGACGGGGATATGAGTATTTCATGCTTGGTTTTGTGTGCAATTTTATAAATAATGCATGTGTTTCTCTGAATTTCTAAAGTGAAGTGACATTCCATTGATGCAAAGAGGTAACAATGTACCAGCATAATAGTTTATGGAATGTTGCCGTGCTGCTCTCATAACACACACCTGTGGTAAAAATGGAATTAGTTATTTTTTGTATGGTATATGGAGCTGTATCTTTGATTTCACTGTCAGTCTATGATTTTCGGCTGCATCGTTTCATTTAGGAGTGGAAATGGGTAATACTATGTGCAGTGTTGCGTCCCTTGAGCTGGCCAGAAACCAAATATTGTGGGTTCACTTTGCGTTTTGCCCTGATGATGTTGCTAGGTTTATCAGCTACATACATACCCATGCTTGTGGATTTTACCACATCGATAAATGTCTGCATCACATCAAGGTGACATGCTGTGATGTAAATGACATGCTGTGATGTAAATGACATGCTGTGATTTGTTCAAACTATTGTTTGTTCCAGGTTTGCACAACAATGTGAACAATGACAAGCTGCTGGAGAAGAAGATCAAGGTGCTGTGTCATCTCGGCCAGTTCCAGGAAGCATATGACCTCGCCTGCGACTGGAAGGTCCGAGATCCACAGGTAGGTGATATCTTGTTTAATCCCTGGTTTGTAAGACATATCACACACTTCACAGCATTTGTCAGTTAACTTGAAAATCTAAGATCCAGAGGTAGGCAACAGACCATGTGTCTCCTCTGTGGGAAATAGATCTCCAGCAACCCATGATTGTCGTAGGAGGCAACAGAAGGAATCTGGTGATCAGGATCAGTGACTTGGTCCTAAGATCACTGGTTTGTCTGGTCCTGATTTGATTATTGACATGTCGCTGTGAAATAGCTGCATTATATCTGAGTGTGGCAGTAAACAACACACAAAAAAAACAAACAAATCATTCCTTCTAATACGGCCTGGGGCGGTCGGGTAGCCTAGTGGTTAAAGCGTTCGCTCGTCACGCCGAAGACCCGGGTTTGATTCCCGACATGGGTACAATGTGAAGCCCATTTCTGGTGTCCCCCGCCGTGATATTGCTGGAATATTGCTAAAAGCGGCGTAAAACCATATTTACTCACTCACTCACTAATACGGCCTAATGGAACTACATTACAGAACAGTATGTCACCACTTGCGTCCAAGTGATGGCCATGGCTGTAGCCACAAGACCTGTTTACATCTGCCAGTCATAGTTTGAGTTCGCAAGTCTCTGCCTTTTGGAGTTCACCAGGTGCATACAGGTCATTAAGTAAGCAGGTGATGTAAGCAGTTCTGACTGCAGAGCAGGTGGGTTGGCAACTGTACTCCACAACCAGAACCACTCAGTGTATCTAGGACTTCAGTTCTGCAATACCAGGGCTGGGACGGGTAACTTGGGTACAGGTGGGCCCTGAGTAGGACACTGGTACCCACAGTACTACCTGGATACGTGGTTAGCCACGTGATATATTGTTAATGTCAAAAACTCACTGTAGCTCAGTGGTTACACTACAATTCGCTGATGTTCGCATTTCTTTCTGACCATGCACACATTCCTTTGACTTATATATGTTTGAGTGAAGATAAAGCTTCAGTCAACTTTAGTGTACGCATGATCTGATCGTTTGATACATGTATCTAAATAGTTTTTATCAGGGCTGACAATTGCGAATCAGACATTTTGTTCCCAACTCTTGAGACCTACAGCAGGTAGGGTTCGGTAATAGGGGGATGGGTACCCGGGTAGTAAAGTTGGACTTGTCCCGGCCCTATGCTATACACTGCAGTGTCTCTCCTCAGGCAAATGACTTTACTTGAGGTCACTCTCTGTTCACCCAGCAGCGATATGGGTACCAGGTAGGAACATCGGTGATATTAACTGGGTTGTATGCACACTGATCATTTGACCAGGGTAATAATGTCCTGCACTTTGAACATGAAACGTTCTCTCGTCACCCTGAAGACCCAAGTTCATTTCCCCTACCATGATGTTATAGGAATATCGCTAAAATCAGCTTAAGATCCAACTTCCTTGATCTTAGTTGTATGGCAGGTTGCCTGCCCACAGTGACCTGAATCACCTACAGCCCAAACCGGTGCATAATTCAATGACATTGTTTTGCCTTCTGATATGACCCTCTGTACACTCTCCTACCCAGAATTCCTTGTGGTCAGCCTGATACCTCTACCACAGGCAAGCAAGCACGCTGTGATGACTTATCACATCTTCCACAGCCCATTCAACAGGTTACACACATTTATCATCCAAAACTGGCTCCCACAGGAGATATCGCTTGGGTAAGATCAAGCGATATCTACACTGTAGATATCGCTGCAATGAAATTGCAATGAAATTTGCACTCGTTGATAAAAGTGGAAAAAAATCCTCGGCAAGCCTCGGAGTTTTCCCACTTTTATCAACTCGTGTTGATATATTTGATATCAAAAGACACTCGGGTGAGATTCTCTATTTTATCATCCATTTCATTAGGGGAATGTCTTCACATTTTGTCTCCTAACAAGTAACAAATCTGGTCACCTGATATGTGAATGCGCTTGTGGCAACAGTGTAATGCTAAGTCATCGCTACACCAGTTTGTGCACTCCTTACAGACTGGCATACCACAAGTTAGCATTCCACACTTTATCTACTTCAACTATACATAGCTGTCTTTATCAGCAGACACTAATTAGGTTAAGAACTTCAAGTTAAACAATCTGTTTGTCCTAATTGCCACAAGCCAACACACATCAATGTTAACATCAAGTTCAGTGGAGCATGTCCATAGAGAACTCATTGCAGAAGTAAACGTTGAATACAGGCAGCCACCTGTGAACTTGGAAGCTTCACTGTTAATGGTTCCTTCCACTCTGTGACCTCCACCTCCTCCAAGACTCTGGCACTGATAAGGTGCCTTGGATCAGTGTTCGTTGTACTTCCCAGTACACTGGAAGTCTCCACTGTCATGGAGAAAGTAGTGCAGTGCACATGCTTAGTCAAAGACCTGCTGGAGTATGGCACTGAAGGTATATACCCTGGTTTGGGGTTGTTAAATATGCACAGAGAGTATATGTACACATGATTAGTCAAAGACCTGCTGGAGTATGGCACTGAAGGTATATACCCTGGTTTGGGGTTGTTAAATATGCACAGAGATTATATGTACACATGATTAGTCAAAGACCTGCTGGAGTATGGCACTGAAGTTATACACCCTGGTTTGGGGTTGTTAAATCATGCACAGAGAATATATGTACACATGCTTAGTCAAAGACCTGCTTGAATATGTCACTGAAGGTATAGTGCACAGAGAATATATGTACACATGATTAGTCAAAGACCTGCTGGAGTATGGCACTGAAGTTATACACCCTTGTTTGGGGTTGTTAAATCATGCACAGAGAATATATGTACACATGCTTAGTTGAAGACCTGCTTGAATATGTCACTGAAGGTATAGTGCACAGAGAATATATGTACACATGATTAGTCAAAGACCTGCTGGAGTATGGCACTGAAGGTATACACCCTGGGATGGGGTTGTTAAGTATTGGAGAAAACACGCTCACGAGGTTTTGGTAGACAGAGCATGCCCTGGGGAGAGGGAAAAACCAAGGGGGGTGAAACCCCCGCTGTTTTTCCCGACCCCCAGGGCATGCTCTGTCTACCAAAACCGAGGGAAAGTGTTTTTCCATGCTTATAAACCGAAAAAAGAAACTTAAAACAACATTTATCAACATTTTTATGTTTCGAACATACTTTCCATGAACCTTAGGAAACGCGTGTAAAATATATGTTGCTGGCGTAGGGATCTTGAAAAGGACATTCTAAAAACCAGTGAGGCTTATCAACACCTCTGTAGCCTCGTGGTACACTCACTGGGCTACAGATATGAAGGTTGCGAGTTTGATCCTCAGGAATATAAAGAAAACATTTGTCATTTGATTTTACATTTCATTACATGTTACAATCTGAACGGAAGTTATATTAATAAAATACCCAGGACATTATATAAAATCCCTGGGATATTATATAAAATCCCAGGGACATTACAACGTCCCTGTTAAGGAGATTTAACCCGACTGGAAAGTAAAACCTCACAATAGGTCTTAATGCCTATAGAAAGAAGTCTCTTACTTAATAGCGATCCCAATGAATAGGTTTATAAATATGCACAGAGAATATATGTACACATGCTTAGTTAAAGACCTGCTGGAGTATGGCACTTGAGGTATACACCCTGGTTTGGGGTTGTTAAATATGCACAGAGAATATATGTCCACATGTTTAGTCAAAGACCTGCTGGAGTATGGCACTGAAGTTATACACCCTGGTTTGGGGTTGTTAAATCATGCACAGAGAATATATGTCCACGTGATTAGTCAAAGACCTGCTGGAGTATGGCACTGAAGATATATACCCTGGGATGGGGTTGTTAAATATGCACAGAGAATATATGTACACATGCTTAGTCAAAGACCTGCTGGAGTATGGCACTGAAGATATATACCCTGGTTTGGGGTTGTTAAATATGCACAGAGAATATATACTGAACACCAAAAGAAACTATTTAATATGGGAAAATGGTTGTGAAAGCGGTTGGCTGCTATGGTTCCATTGTAATGGGCTTTAATTTGTTTCAAAATGACCCTAACCAGAGTTAAGGGCAGTGAACTCTTAATCCACAGCGCTCAAACGCACCGACGTTGAAGTCAGTGTGGGATGGATATGTGCGAAATGCACGTGCTGCTTGTGCCGCAAAAACTGTCCATGAAGATGTTGTCTTTAAAAGCCCTGAAAGTGTCACTGTGAATCATTCACTCATCAACATAAGTCACAATGCCACGACTGTCACAGATCGATCGAGAGAGAGCTATTGGGCAACTTCAAGCTGGTGAGAGTGTTCAGAGAGATGCAAACACCTTTAACGTCCACGTTTCCACCATCTACCGTCTGCAGGAAAGATTCCAGACAACCAACAGCACCAGAGACAGGCATCGTACCTGCAGACCACGTGTGACAACACAACGTCAGGACCGTCACATTCACAGGTCACATTTGAAAGGACGTTTCCTGTCGGCCAGTGAAACTGCTAGGAACGTCGTTGGACACCACGGGAGGGCTGTAAGTTCCAACACAGTAAGACGGCGACTTCGTGACAGAGGGCTTCAGTGTAGGCGACCATCACAAGGTCCTGTTCTCACTCAATGTCACCGTCTCCTGAGACTACAGTGGGCCCAAGCACACTTGAATTGGCGTCATCAGCAGTGGAGAAGAGTTCTGTTCTCTGATGAAAGTCAGTATTCTGTTGATCGTGCCGATGGACGTGTTAGAGTATGGCGACGTCGCGTTGAGCGCTATCATGACCAGTGTGTCCTCGAACGGAACTCGTGGGGTGGTCCTAGTGTCATGGTTTGGGGTGGAATAGGGTTAAATCAGAGAACTGACCTTGTAATCTTTCAGAACATGGAGCTGGTAGCGGCAATGGTGTCACTGCTCAGCGTTACATCGATCAGGTGTTGAGGCCCCAGGTTGTACCGTTTTTGGCAAGACATGGCAACTTCTAATTTCAACAGGATAAGGCTCGTCCCCACACCGCCAGGATTACTCAAGCCTGCTTGCAACAGCACAATATCAACACCATGCCCTGGCCGGCTCTTAGTCCTGATCTCAACCCTATTGAACACTTGTTGGATGAAGTGCAGAGACGTTTGAACATGGCGCGTCCGAGGCCAAGGACAGCTGCACAGCTTGAGGTTACCATCCTGCAGGTGTGGCATCACATCCCCATGAACACTATCAACCGTCTTATTCACTCCATGCACAGACGGTGTGTGGCGCTTGTGAATGCAAATGGGGGCCATACCAGGTATTGAGGTGTATCCATACTTCAGTTGACTTCAGCATGGTCACGTGGTGTTGTGTTGATGGATACAGAAGATGTCCAGAGAACTGACTCTTTCTTATTGCGAATGAATTGTGTTGTATCCATCATTATTATGTTTATACCAGCTGAAACAAAATACATCATGTTTCCTATACCTTCTTGATTCGCGTTTCTTTTGGTGTTCAGTATATGTCCACATGATTAGTCAAAGACCTGCTGGAGTATGGCACTGAAGGTATATACCCTGGTTAGGGGTTGTTAAATATGCACAGAGAATATATGTCCACATGTTTAATCAAAGACCTGCTGGAGTATGGCACTGAAGGTATATACCCTGGTTTGGGGTTGTTAAATATGCACAGAGAATATATGTACACATGCTTAATCAAAGACCTGCTGGAGTATGGCACTGAAGGTATATACCTGGGGTTGTTAAATATGCACAGGGAATACAAAGTCGTAATGCCCATGAATGTGAATTTATTATTTGTTTAGGTAATTATCTTGATTGTTTAAATGCTTTGATGTTATTTGGTTTCTTGACATCTGATCATCTTTCACATCCCCATAGTAGTCATGTGATCCGATATTTGGAGTTCACACATCCAAGTCAGAACAGGGTATCCAAGTCAGAACAGGGTATCCAAGTCAGAACAGGGTATCCAAGTCAGAACAGGGTATCCAAGTCAGAGCAGGGTAACCAAGTCAGAGCAGGGTATCCAAGTAAGAACAGGGTATCCAAGTCAGAGCAGGGATCAAAGTCTGAACAGGGTAGCGAAGTCAAAACAGGGTAGCGAAGTCAGAGCAGGGTATCCAAGTCAGATCAGGGTATCCAAGTAAGAACAGGGTATCCAAGTCAGAACAGGGTGTCCAAGTCAGATCAGGGTATCCAAGTAAGAACAGGGTAGCGTAGTCAGAACAGGGTATCCAAGTCAGAATAGGGTAGCCAAGTCTCAACAGGGTAGCCAAGTCAGAACAGGGTATCCAAGTCAGAATAGGGTAGCCAAGTCTGAACAGGGTATCCAAGTCTGAACAGGGTAGCCAAGTCGGAACAGGGTAGCCAAGTCTGAACAGGGTAGCCAAGTCAGAACAGGGTATCCAAGTCTGAACAGGGTAGCCAAGTCAGAACAGGGTAGCGAAATCGGAATAGGGTATCCAAGTCTGAACAGGGTAGTGAAGTCAGAACAGGGTATCCAAGTCTGAACAGGGTAGCCAAGTCAGAACAGGGTATCCAAGTCTGAACAGGGTAGTGAAGTCAGAACAGGGTATCTAAGTAAGAGCAAGTTTTGGCACAGACTGAAAGTGTTGTTTAGTTTTCAACAATTGGAGGGATTTGTGTCAGTTCTGCCTTAAAGGTCTCTCAATTCTGCTCGATGTGCAATCCTGTATTGCAGGGGCTATTGTTTACCATATCTTCCATATTCCAAACTGAAAGCTCAATTGATACATTGATATGTTTTCAGCATCCCGTGGCACAGAAAGAAGTGAACCGACTGAAGATTGTTTTGAATGCGTTACGTGATCAGGTACGTCTGAACATGCTGCGGCACTTGCACTGTGATGTGTGTTAAGTTTGTTACTCACTCGATGCGTATATCACTGTTTAATAAACATCCTCCTGTTCACCTCACCTCACCTCACCTCACCTCACATCACATCACATCACATCACATCACATCACATCACATCACATCACATCACATCACATCACATCACATCACATCACATCACATCACATCACATCACCTCACCTCACCTCACCTCACCTCACCACTGAAGGTATCCAATGACAATGAACCAAAAGTGGGTTATAAGTAGCAATACATTTCTGAATTGCACCAGATCGGGGGGATATGTCATCTCCTGATGACTCTTGTTTGAATCGGGCATCGATAGCAACTGTACACTACTCTACTTCTGATAAAATCTTCTAATTTTCAGAAGACATGCATGGATCCAAAATGTGTACATCTTAAAACTTGTTGAATTGACATATATTAAATTGAATTTGCAGTCGCCTTTGATTTTACACAGGAACAGATATTTGAAATCGAAAGAGTATAACTCTCAACCTTGTATTGTAGTAATGCAAGCATTGTGGAATAATAATGGCTCAGGCCATCAATGAAAAAGGAAACATTACGTTACATCACTACAATTAGCTTTCATCACCACAGTGCAAATGACCTTGAGTTTCCTGTTGCCAATGAGAGTAGCCTCCCATGGGTTAGGTGCAGAGGGGTTAAGAATGTCAACCGATGCAATTCTTTACTATGTATTGTTGGTAATCCATAATTTGTGTTTCTTAGAATTACAACAAATTTCATAACTTTCAGGCCACCTCCCTGCTTGTATGACATAAAATAGACAACAAGACTTGATATAGTGACTGTCGATTGTCTCTATGACCCCTCTGAGGTGAGGTGAAATTGGGTTTAACGTCGCGTCCAAGATTATTGCACTTATATAGCGACGTGCATGCACGTGTGTGTGTGTGTGTGGCTGCTTGTACTAGACCAGACTGATGCCGATTTATAGTGCTAGCCCACTGAGATACCATGCCGCAGTTTAACATGAATACCCCACTCAGACACAGTATACTGACTCCGAGCCGACCAGTCCTTGTTTTAGCCCCTTAATGCTGAGCACCAGACAGGGTAACAACAAGTACCATCTTTTAACGTCTTTTGGTATGACGCGGCCGGGGATCCAACCCCGGACCTTTTACTCTCCAGGCAGACGCTCTACCCATAGACCACGGAGGCGGTCATGACCCCTCTGATGTACATTGAACTGAGTTTATTTTATGAAGCTAGAAGTTTCAGTTGAATGCAGATATGGCTAACTTGAAGATATGTGTAATTAGAATAGCATCTTAGAATCTGCATCGTTTTGATTGATCTTCAAGAAAGTTACACAGCTTTTTAGCGAGATCGTACATTGAGAGAACAGTCTATGGTTGAGTCAACCTCTAACTTATTTATACGCCATCCTGACACCAATGACATCTTTTCTATAAGATATATTAAGATAATTTGTTTAGTTTATGTGAGTAATAAATTAATAACCACACTCGTACCTGTTCGATACCATTTTTATTTGCCCTTTAAGATACATTTAGAAATACACTCGTAATAAAAACAGTATTTAGCAGGGACTCTTTAGCATGTTTAGATAATTTTATTTTCATATCGACTGAAGGTTGTGTTGAATGTTCTACATGATCAGAAAAGTCAGAGAGTGTTGCGACATCACACATTAGCGTGTGTTAATTATTCATGCCAACACAATAAGGCCTGTCTCTTGTCTACCAATGTATTGATCCCCTACACCAGGTATGGAGATTGATATTATGTAGGACTATTCCCTGTTGTGCATCGATTGACATTTCCCTTGAGCACTTTCACTCACCTGGCAGAAGATGTGCTGAATTAATCTTGTTAGTGTCAATATGATTACATACAATTTCAATAATTACTGCAGAAACAATACAGCGCAGTTGTAGTTCAAGAGCTTTCTGGGGTAGAGCGAGATATCATTCTCCATGTTGACTGAGAAATGTTGCCTGTTTCAGTGAAGAATAAAAAAACAATTTGGTTCAAAGCTAAAAGGAAGAACGCCACTAAGTCTACCTGAGAGCCATGTATCAGTATGTTTAGCTCACCTGACTGAAAGTTAAGTGAGCTTATGTCATTCACCTGTTTGTCCAGCGTCCGGCTTCAGTCATGCATTGTGAACATCTCATCCTCAGCATCTCAGGACCAATGAAGCTGAAACTTCTCATGCTTGTTCCCATCAATGGCACACCAATATTGTTCAAGGGGTCTCCACGGTAACCATATATTGAAAAACACATTCATGGCCATTACTCAGTCAGTTTTGTACAAAACGTAATGAAATTTGGTATGTGTTTTGTTAATTGTAGGCTTAAAACATTGCTTCCGTTTTTTTCAATATTTTTAAGTTGATGTTTTTATGTCCATGTTCTATTATTCTATCAAAATACATATGTGGTTTTGTAAACTTTGAAATTGCCAGACACTGGGAGCAGAACTGCGGCATGGTAGTTTTTATTGTTTGATAGGCAATACTTGAAGAAGTTGACGGATGACAAGGTAGACACAATTCATGGATAACAACTTCTTTAATAATGTAAAGGCGACGGTTCGGTATAGATCCTTATACCGTTGTCAAGCAAGGGAGGACAATTGCATAAGGATTTTGACAACGGTATAAGGATCTATACCAAAATGTCGACTTTACAGTTTTAAAGAAGTTGTTATCCATAAATTGTATCTACTTTGTCATTAGTTTTTAGTTTCAGTTTTAGTCTTAAATGTGAACTTTCGTGAAGGAGCACTCTTTGTTGATATTTTATACAGTTGACTAAATATGCAGGTGAGCTACAGTGATGTGGTACTGTTTTAAATGTTATGGTGACTCTCTAGACTCTGTTAGGTTTCAAAGTTCCCAATATTTTGTGAGTGTCAATGGCACAATTAAACTAGTTTCTTCCAGTTTCACTTGCCCGCTTAGAAATAAACTGTTTTATACAAATATATATTGACACAATGAAAACGCTTTATTTCAAAATCCACTTCAATACAAACACATGCCTAAATACCCAGAATAACTTATTTCTTTAAATTGAGAAATTAGATCTACTATGTTTGAAGAGATATTTATATTCCAAGTTTATTCCAAATTCCCTGTTGTGCCCTACAAACTGGGGGCATTCACTCGTCACGCCGAAGGCTGATATGAGGCCACTTTATTACTCTAAATTCACTGAAATGATGCAATAATGCAATTTTGGGCAAGTATCCTCTGAACTTTATGGCACAGATGTCAATTTCTCACGAATGACTTAAATGATATTTTCCGTTCAACCGTTTTGTGTTTCATGTTTCATGTTTCATAATTTATTGAGAGTATTGATCTGTTTGCCAGGTAATTTTACTGTGGTACTGAGCTTAAATATTTAATTGCATTTTGGAAGTAATGTAGATTAGTTTCCATTTGACATTTTAACACACCCATGCCTTTCATTGGAAACAGAATCCTTATTAAAGTTAAATGATTTCAATGTTGATCTGAGCCAGCTTTGCATAGCCAAAGTCCTTGTTGATCAGTGTGAAGTGTTCGGTTCCTGTATGTAATATGTTGTCTGGGGAATGTTATCCTCACTAGTATGATGAAGTGGAACTAATCACCTGTTCCACATATTGCTGGCACAATCGTGGGGATATTAATAGTTTGGGCGTTGTTGCTAATCAGGCTGGACACTGCTGTCAACTCAAATTCATCAGAGAAGTATCAGTGTCCTGTTTGTCAACCCAGGTGTGACTGGAACAGACTGGCAGAGATGCTAACCTTGACATTAGTGGAATCATTGCAATATTTTGAAACAAATCCTGCCCTTATGATTTAGTCAGAAACCCTACACTGAGGGAAGGGCCTCGGGGCTAGTTCCCCGCTCACTGCCCCTCGAGGCCAAGCAACACGTTCATGTGAGACTGTGTGAGATTCCAAGATTTACATGCGAGGGTTCCATGAACTGACCTAACCAGTTTTCAGCCCCTTATATATGTACAAACACTGAGTTTTTTTAAAGGACATTTGTTACATATGAGTAACTATTTTGCCGTTAACATTTTTGTGAATTAATGAACGATTGTTCCATTGTACACATTGAAAATTCACAAGTTATCCATTTTCTGGTACAAATTACCCCATTAAGTATGAAACAAAGTCCTCAGTTAGTAGAAACAATCAAAAGATTCATAACATTTCTTTGTCATGGTATAATTTGTTTCACATGTAAATTATTTCGGCACTATACCAAAGTGCTACGCTTGTGTATTATCATTATTTTGAATATGTGTAGCAAAAGCTGCAACTAGGGTAACACGATATTGGAATATATTCTTCCTGGAATAATAATAGTTTCAGGTTCAATTTCTTCTGACCATTGCATCAGATATCTTTATTTTTTAACCGATTCACCAGTAGATCTATTTCCAGCTTAGTTTACGATACAAATACACATGTAAGCGCAATTTTTGCATAGAAAACAATGGTTGGCAGAACAGAAAATACAATTGAATTGGTAAATCATCATGTCTAGTGATTTTTTAACGCAAATGTAACATTTTCAATGACCAAGTTTGTTATGGATCTTCTGTTCATTCCTCTGAAGCAATACAATGTTGTTTTTGACTGCGCTTGAAATATCAGTATAATGTATGCTTGAGGGGACACAAAGGGAATTTTGACGTTCAAGCATTGTGTAAGTTTGTTGACTAAAGTACTCATGGAAATGAAAAAAAACTGTTTTTTCGACCTCAGATCTTAAATTATTGCAGTTAATATACAAAATATGTAAATATTCAAACAACTAAACTGGTACTAATTGGGCCGTGGCACAAATACAGCGTATCAAATGTTTTTAAAAGTGTGTAAAAATGTGAATAAAACAGACTATTGTGAAACAGGACATAACCAGGGGTAAGTAGATCAAGGTGACCTATGACACCTTGATAACAGGTGAGAACATGTGCATAATGCCTATAGTCTGTTTCTGCTATGTCAATTTGGACTTTGAATGTTGAAAGTGCTGACAAATTACCTCCTGTAAAGTACATTTTGTATTGTTCACTGAGATCAAACTAACAAATCCAGACTAGTACTTTTCGAGTTGTTTTGTTATTTCGTATTTACAGCTACGTAACACTTTGTGTCGATTTTTAAATTGAGAAAAACAGTTTTTTTTCATTTCCGTGAGTACTTTAGACTGCTGAAGTCCTCAGATAAGAGCATCTGTGCATGTGTCGTGTACCTTGACTGCTGCCAGGGGCGAAGCAGCAGGGCGTCCCAATGTATCAGTTACTCATGGACGCGGCAGTGATTGTTTCTATGTGGCCTCGGGATTTAGTGAAATATATTTTAAGAAGGTACAAAAAGAACATCCACTGTAACCTTGCTACCATTCTCATATATAAAATGAATAATCACAATTTGGATTATAGTAGACTTTTTCCCAAAGCAGTTTTGTGTCCAGACAAATCAACATCCAGACAAAGTTGATTTGTCAAGTGTTGTGGAGTTTTTGTGCAGCAATATCATCTGTTCATTAATCATTGACCATTAACCATTCTTCTACAGGACTCCGAAGATGATTCCGCGTCTCCGACTGTGCAAGGGCCAGCCCAACCAGACGTCAGGAGTTCTCCTGATGGGAGGGAGGAGGGGACGGAGGCGGTATCCCCCCAGACCAGGCCGGCCACCAACATCGTCCTTACTCTCCCTCCCATGCCTACAAAAAACCCAAAGTCAGAAGTTAAAGCTGGTACGTAGAGCTCTCAGTGAAAAAGAGCAATAAGTTATTGCTTGATTTTCCCCTTGAGTTAGGATGGCCTGCCTAATGGTAATGTTGTGATAATATGTCCACCACTTAAACACAGGCAATATGTCCACCACTTACACACAGACAATATGTCCACCACTTACACAGGGACATCTGATTGGCTTAGGTTTGGGGAATATCCCTTCTGGGTAATTCCCATTCTATTTTTAGCAACTCCAGTCATTCCTGTGGATGATCAGATCTCACTTGGAGTCAGTGTGTGTTTCTGTTGAATGACATGTGATCGCTTCTTGGCCAATTAATATGGTGGAAATATATTATATATATTATGATCACTGTAACCATATCATGAATGATGTTATCAATACGATGAACTTTAGTAAGCTCCATACATCAATACACTGTCTGTCTGTTCAGTAAACTATTTACAAACATTGCCAAATAGTTTATATGTGAGAGTGATTCCGCAGAGAACCATACCTCCAAATTATAAGGCACTTTATCATAATTGGGGCAGTTGGCTCAAAATATTGTATTCATACGCGGTTTCTAAAGTTTCTAAAATTTCTTCATTGAGTGAGATTACATCTATTATATGACCTTATGTGATAAAGAAATTATTACAAAGATACATTATGTCGGTTTGACACACTAATTACATCGTGACCAAGGCAGGAAGTAGGCACACCATGATGGGAAAAGCCCTTCAGATAAGCTCCTTCAGTGCTAGTATCATAACTCACTATGAGTAGTTTGTTATCATCATGGCTATTTCTGTACCCCAAATCAGCAATGCTCTTCTCTTCTCACAAAACATTTCATCTTTGTATTGTAAACATTTGACCAAATTTGTGTTTATTTACGGCATGATGTTAATATTTACTGTCTATATTTTGGGGGAGGAGGGTACAGCATACACCATGCATAAAAAATTCCTATCTTATCTATTCACAGAATTCTCAGCGGATTAAATCGGCATGATAATGCCCAAGAAAGATTTCATTTTCTTTTTTAGTCTTAGTCCTGAAGGGGCGGTCGGGTAGCCTAGTGGTTAAAGTGTGCGCTCGTCACGCCGAAGACCCGGGTTCGATTCCCGACATGGGTACAATGTGTGAAGCCCATTTCTGGTGTCCCCCGCCGTGATATTGCTGGAATATTGCTAAAAGCGGCGTAAAACCAAACTCACTCACTCACTCACTTAGTCCTGAATGATTTGAAGACGTTTGGTTTGTACCCCATGTCATATATATTCCAGATGTTATTTAAAACACACCGTGACTTATGGTACTTATACATTATGATTGAAGACATTTAACTGTATCTGGGGTATATTTATGATGCAAATGTAAAATAAGAAATTATTCCTTAGGGATTCTTTGATGGGAGTACTTTACGTCATATGCACATTCTGATTGGTTTGTCGTGTTTTCATACATAATATTGAGTTGGTGACGAATGACGCATTGTGATTGGTTTGTCGTATTTTCATACATAATATTGAGTTGGTGACGAATGACACATTGTGATTGGTTTGTCGTATTTTCATACATAATATTGAGTTGGTGACGAATGACACATTGTTATTGGTTTGTCGTATTTTCATACATAACACAGCGAGTGGTGACGAATGTTCATCCCTCCATTCCCTCAATTCTTCTTTCCATTCGCTTCACAGTCTCCGAGTTTGTGTGTACATTCTGCGACATCAAGTTCACGCGGCAAGATGAGTTGGACACACATTGTCGTAGTGACCTTCACAAGAAAAGATTGACCTCTGATGAAGGTCATGGGTGGAAGTTCCGAGCTCCGCCCCGTGGCCTCAGCAGTGAAGAATATGTCCTCTGCCTCAGGTAAAGTAGAAACATAACTGGTAGAATCAGTTTACTAGTAGTGTTTCCAAATGAGGTGGATCACTTTGTAAATGGAACGTCTTGTACATGTCTGTGTTTTGAAAGTTTTCAGGATTTTGTTGGTCTGTGTTAGTACCTCATTTCACAATCCCTCTTTGTGCTATTTGTGTTCTAAGTAGGATGGTACGCTGGTAATGGCACACACTTACTAACTTATTAAATATGTCATACGCCAAATGTTTCGTTTTCTTTGTTCAACTTTTATGACACATCAATTAGGATTGATTGAAGCTGATTTTCTTTTACCAAGTTCAGTAAGCAAAGTACAGGTCATTAATGACTCAAGGGCAGGCAACTCTATATTATCGCGGTATGGCGATTCTGTGGTGTGATACGTGTGGATTATGTGGTTTACATTACTTCCTGTTTTGGATTATGCATACCAAGTATGCATATAACCTAGGTTGGGTCAAGGGACTTCGTCTAAACAAATGGGTTCTTTTCTAATCAATTTCGAATGGAGGTAGGGTAATTCCACTTCAAAACCATCATAACCAGAAACTATCACAAAAAAAGTTAACGTGTAAACTTAAGAGAAGCCTTGACATGCCACAACGAGTCCTGTATTCGATCAAGAGATGAAATATCGTGCTTAGATTTGCATAAGTAAACGGTCGACAGGGTGTGTGGATTACGAGATTTAATGATACTGCTATAACACAGAGCCCGCGATAATATAGTCATACTATTTATGTATATATATGTTGGGGTAGCTAAATGGTAAAGGATGTTCGCCTGTCACAATCTCTGAGTTTGATATGGGTAGATTGGATGAAAACCATTTTCACTCATCCCTGCTGTGATGTCGCTGAAATTTTGTTTCTAGTTATTTTATGTATTAAGGTACAAGAGTTCTTATAATCATAGTGATAAGAACACTTCTGGGCCGGGCCATATGAGAAATAAAACTCTATGTCTGCTTCAAATCTTTTCAAGGATCTGATGTTTCAATGCTGTTTACATCTTCTTTCTGTGCAGGTTTTCTGAGATTGGGCGGTGTCCCTTTGGGGACAAGTGCACCCAGGCCCACTCAGAAGATGAGCTGAACGAGTGGAAGGAGAGGTTCAAGTTCCGGAAACAGCAGCTGCAGAAGGCACGGGACAGTCAGCTTCATGGCAACACCTACACAGAGCAACTGATGGAGAGGCTGACAAACGCAGAGAGTCCTAAAGCTGTGGTTGGTATTGTTTCATATTATTTCATGTTGATGCCAGATAGATGATCAAGGTTACAAAACAGGGCCCACTTGTACAAAGCAGAGTTTTCAGACTGTTGTAACTCTATGTTAAGTTTTGGTATTACAAAAGTCGTGCAAGGATGGTTTTCGTCCAATGGACCAAGGGTTATGGCCCGGGAATGCCAAATTAGAATACCAGAAAGCCGAACACTGATTCTGCTGTTGGTACCACGAGTGCCAAATCAATGGATTTACCATGAAATTGGTGAATGCATGCCGATTTATGATGTAAATGAAGCATACCCAAATACATTAGGAGAAACACACTTTGTCATATTACCAAGTTAATCAGAAAGAGTACAAACACATAAAATGCATAAAACAAAAATACAATAAAATTTCCATAGATAACGAAATCATCAGCTTACAGGCAGTAGATCTACTCTCAATGCGGAGGTATTTACAGATAAAGTGCTGAAGAAGATCAAAACTATTAAAGACTATTCACACAGGGCCAAGGGACCAGTTTCTTATACTGCTCCTACAATGTATGCTCATACCTGACAATCTTAAGTGTAATGAGAAATTCATAATGTTCATAAGTACTTTTACATAAGGCTACAGACCCGTGAAGATTCCGGGTTAGAATAGGTCTTCAGCAACCCATACTTGCCATAAAAGGCGACTATGCTTATCGTAAATGGCGACTAACGGGATCGGGTGGTCAGGCTCGCTGACTTGGTTGATACATGTCATCGATCCCAATTGCGTGGATCGATGCTCATGATGTCAATCACTCGATTATTTTACAGACCGCCGTCATATAGCTGGAATATTGCTGAGTGCGGCGTTGAACAACAAACAAACAAACATAAGGCTACAGATAAATATTAGCAATACATGATGAGTGCTTCCATAGTTATAAACCATGCTGAATTAGTAAGACATTGATTCTGTGATGACTGTTTGATGTAATGTATGATGACTGTCCTGGCAACAACTGCTTAGATCGTTATTTTTATGGGAGGTAACGTTTCTTTGCTTGCTCAAATAAACAAAGCTTTGCTGATTACCTCCATTATCTTCCTTTGACGTCCATTAATTATTTCAAGGTGTTTGTGTCAGCTGAGATTCATCAGTGTTATATTCAGACTGGGTATTTATCTGAAGTATTGTCTGTTAATGCCGTGTGCTGTGGGTGCCATGACGACCTCCGTAAGATGCACCTCTCATAGCTCACCTTGTTCTGTTGCAGCTGGTTCACAACTTGGACTTTGTAAAAGTGCATGTCAACTCCGACCTCAAGGTCAACATGACAAACAAGAAGTGTACCAACGCCTGGACCTTCACCATCACCTCGAAGGTAAGGGATGGCAAACACATGGACTGACACAACAGACATGAGGACAGACACAACAGACACCAGGACTGACACAACAGACACGAGGACTTACACAACAGACACGAGGACTTACACAACAGACATGAGGACTGACACAACAGACAGGAGGACTTACACAACAGATGCAAGGACTTACACAACAGACATGAGGACTGACACAACAGACACGAGGACTTACACAACAGACACGAGGACTGACACAACAGACATGAGGACTTACACAACAGACATGAGGACTGACACAACAGACACGAGGACTTACACAACAGACACCAGGACTGACACAACCGACACCAGGACTGACACAACCAACATGAAGACAGACACACAGTCATGAGGACAGACACGAGGACTGACACAACAGACACCAGGACTGACACAACAGACACCAGGACTGACACATCAGACACCAGGACAGACACACAATCATGAGGACAGACACAACAGACACCAGGACTGACACATCAGACACCAGGACAGACACAACAGACACCAGGACTGACACAACAAACACCAGGACTGACACAACAGACACCAGGACTGACACATCAGACACAAGGACTGACACAACAGACACAAGGACTGACACAACAGACATGATGACAGACACGAGGACTGACACAACAGACACAAGGACTGACACAACAGACACAATGACTGACACAATGACTGACACATGGACAGACACGAGGTCTGACACAACAGACACCAGGACAGGCACAAGGACTGACACAACAGACATGAGGACTGACACACAACAGACACGAGGGGTGACACAACAGACACGAGGGGTGACACAACAGACACTTGGACAAACAGACATTCACCTACAATAGACACGGCAAATATACTATCTCATGGATGAATGATAAGTATGTTTTTATTCTCAATGATGATTAGAGAAAATTCATTAACTTGGAACAAACTTCCACTTGAAAGCTCGGAAATAGGTTTTTGAGACAGTCAGCATTGATCTGAGAAGGGAGCCTTCTAGTAATATTGCTGCATCAGTTGTCTATGTAGCTGTAGTGTGAAAATAATAGCACCCTATTCACACACTCACTCACCCTCCTACAGAACAACTGATATCACTGAAATCTTTCTGGCTGTATAGAATAGAAGAAACTCACTCACTTACTCACTCTCCACTCACTCCCCACTCACCATCCTACAGAACAACTGAAATCACTGAAATCTTTCTGGCTGCATAGAATAGAAACCCACTCACTCACTCACTCACCATCCTACAGAACAACTGGTATCACTGAAATCTTTCTAGCTGTATAGAATAGAAACCCACCCACTCACTCTCTCACTCACTCACTCACTCTCACTCTCCACACACTCCTACAGAACAACTGGTATCACTTAAATCTTTCTAGCTGTATAGAATAGAAACCCACCCACTCACTCACTCTCACTCACTCTCACTCTCTCACTCACTCACTCACTCACTCACTCACTCTCCACTCACCATCCTACAGAACAACTGGTATCACTTAAATCTTTCTAGCTGTATAGAATAGAAACCCACTCACTCACTCACTCACTCACTCACTCACTCACTCACTCACTCACTCACCCTCACTCACTCACTCACTCACTCACTCACTCACTCACTCACTCACTCACTCAATCTCACTCACCCTCACTCACTCACTCACCATCCTACAGAACAACTGGTATCACTTAAATCTTTCTGGCTGTATAGAATAGAAACCCACTCACTCACTCACTTTCCACTCACTCCTACAGGACAGCTGTACTGGTGTAATATTGGTAGCTCTCTCATGCCTCCTCCTCATCCTCCCACAGATCTGCCTGCACAGCGTAGCCCTCCTGGACGACGTGAACCGCAGCTACTTCTACATCTCGTCCATCTCCGTGGGCCCCAAGAAGACCCAGAAGTACCAGAACCTGGAGCACCAGTGCCAGGAGTGGATCAACCAGGACACAGCCAACAAGGGCCATGGGGAATACGTCTACAGGGTCAAGGTCAGCCACTCGCACAAAATAAGAAGTTTTTTTATCAATTGGTGGTCAGTAGTGTTAATTGAATTGTATCCTTGCAAGTAGAAATTACTGCATAGTAAAAGTAAAATACTGTATTAAACCCCTGGTGACACCACCTAATGTAACCAGGGACAAGGATCTTCCGCAAATCCGTGAATTTTGGTGACCACAAATTTGTGAAAATCTGATGGCTTCCCCCAAGCCCCAAATTATGGACCACACTCCATTGCAAAGAGGTTTCAACTGAAAATATCCATTCTCATCCCTATGTAACACCTAAATTGACATTCATATAAATATTGTAAGAAATTGTAAAACGTACAGAAGAAAACAGCATTTATGAACTTATTTCCAAACTCACCAATTTGTGAAAGTGATAATGAAGTAACATGGTCACAAAATTATTAGACCCGTGAAGATCCGGTTAGAAAAGGTCTTCAGCTACCTATGCTTGCCATAAGTGGCGACTATGCTTTTCGTAAGAAGCGACTAACGGGATCGGGTGGTAAGGCCAACTTGGTTGATGCATGTCATCATATCCCAATTGCGTGGACTGATGCTCATGATTTCAATCACTGGATTGTTTGGTCCAGACTCAATTATTTGCTGTCATATAGCTGGAATATTGCTGAGTGCGGTGTTAAACAACAAACAAACAAACAAATACTGATGCTTGATTGTTGCATGTCATGAAGGATGCTTCCCACTCAGCCTGCTCAGATTGGATGTGCACCAGTATGTTATGTTCTGACCCACGTCACTGCTGGGATGCTGTGTCAAGTATTGGTTGTGGAGATTTCCCATGATGACCACTAGACTTACAGTCTGACATTGTGCACACTAATTCTTTCCTTCCTGGGGCAGAAGTACTGTTCAAATAAGCGTTAAATAGAGAATCTCACCCGAGTGTCTTTTGATATCAAATATATCAACACAAGTTGATAAAAGTGGAAAAATTCCGAGGCTTGCCGAGGATTTTTGCCACTTTTATCACCGAGTGTTGATATATTTGATATCAAAAGACACGAGGGTGAGATTTTATTTATCATCCAACATCTTTCATCCAACTTTTTCAATTTGTAGACAATAATTAGCAGTGTCTTCAGTGTAAAAAGTACTGCTAACAGCTTCAGTAGCAGAGCCATTAGTGATGTCATTTGATTGTGACGTCATGGTAACCAGTGATGTCACAATGGTCTGCAAAGCATTGTGATGTAATTTCATTGCAGCGATATCTACAGTGTAGATATCGCTTGATCTCATCCAAGCGATATCTCCTGTGGGAGCGAGTTTTGGATGATAAACCCAACTCACTCACTCACTCCCCTTCTTTGCCAGGTTGTATTCAAGACTGACCTGTATGGCACGTTCCGGCAGTCCATCGTGTTTGACTTTGGCCTGGAGGCGGTGATGGCGCGGGAGATGCAGGTGGAGTCTGCGCCGGTGATGGACACGGAGAAGCTGACCAAGGACCTCATCCTGACCGACTCCAGCAGGTGGACGGACGAGAAGGTGGAAATTACACCCTTTGAACCTGTGTAAGTTGGACTGGAAGTGTAAGATATGATGGTGATGGCAATGTTGTCATGTGTAGGCCTACAGACTGCCCCATGTGTTATGGGAAGGTTTTGTGATAATGGCGATAATGGAGATAAAGTCTCCTGTCTGGTGTTAAGATGAAAGTCATTCTCTCATTTGCACTTCTAAATGGTTGAAACATTGTCTGTTTTAGCTCCAACCCGTATTCTGGCACTGAGAAGAGCCTACTGTCGAAGTACACGTTACCACGGCCAGAGAAGCTCTCCATGTCAGAGACCATCGTCCAGACCCTCAGCAAGGAGAACTACCGCCTGTGGATGCATGAGATGCTCTACCTGGAGGAGATGGCCCAGCTCAGCTTTGTGTCCAGGTCAGCAAGGACAGATACTTCCCCATATTCCTCTATTGTGCTGCTGTGTCAAATCAAACAAAATATAAGTCATATCACGCAGATTTGAGTGTCTTGGTCAGAGCAGCCAAGGACAGACACCTCACAATATACCTCAACTGTACTGCTGTAACAAACTGAACAAGAATATAATCACATTCACAAAGTTGGGCCTCGATGTCATGCACTCGGACTGTCACTCCTGAACTGAGGTTATGGATTTCACTTGAGGGATAAATGTTGATGATCTGTATGAGTCCTTTCCATCCACAATAAACAAACATGAGGGTATATGTATACTCTTCAAGGAGAACATCACTACTCACTGAGATCATACTGAAGCGTTACTAATGCAGACTATGGCATACATTGTGCTACAATAACATTCTTCCTCACAGATTCAATGTAAAGACCTCGCTCCAGCTGGTGAATCGCTTTCTTCTGATGCCCGGCGCCCTGTCGACAGCGAAGTACGCCCACGATGGCCAGCTGTTTGCCCGGATGCTGCTGGAGGATGACCTGTCCGAGGACTCCATGGGCGGGCGGCTCATCCTGATGAACTCCCAGATGGCACTCATTGCACCTGCTGTCACTGATGCGGAGGGAAAGCTGATGAAGACAGACCAGGTCTCATTCCACATTATCTTGTCTGTTTGAGAAAGAAAAGGCCAATCTGATGTTTAAGCCAAAAATGAAACTGTTTGTGTAAGGGATTTGTGTCCTGAAAGCATTTATCTTGTTGGAAGAATTAGTATCCAGCGTCTCTCCATATCTATTGTAATCAAAAGCATTCTTGCAGTGTTTTAAAAGGGGGGTGGAGTAGCCTAGTGGTTAAAGTGCTTGCTCGTCATGCTGAAGACACGAGTTTGATTCTCCACATGGGCACAATGTGTGAAGCCCATTTCTGGTGTTCCCCGCCGTGATATTGCTGGAATATTGCTAAAAGCAGAGTAAAACCAAACTCACTCACTTCAGTGTTTTACAGGGGCCGCATGTCCCAGAGATGATACAATTCACTGTGCAGAGTTGCTTCTGGTTATTATGGTTCAAATCCCAGATTTTCCTTCATTATGAGCCGCAGTTTGTCATCACCATACCCCTACTTTGGGTTCCCCCAGTACAAGGAACATCTCGTCATATTTTGTCAAACACACTGAAACTGTTTGAATCAGGGGCAAACTCACTCACAAGATGCAAAGCCTGTCAGGTCTGTAAGCCATGATATTATTAGATGTATTGAGTGTGTATTTTATCCAGACTGTATGGTTTCTTCTGTAGGTGTATGAAGCGTTGATAGAGGGCAAGGGAAAGAACTTCATCTTTCTACGACTCTCGGCTCGCTGCATCAGAGAACTCAACTTGTCATGTGACCAGGAATTTGAAGCTCAGGTAGAGTTAGTCAGGGAAGGCAGAAAAGGGTGAACAACAGTGATTGGTCCACAACTGTCAGATGACTGGAGGTCAAGTTGATGAAATAGTTAACTGGAATGCCATCACAAGCTTAGATGGAAGCGTATTGTGTAGAGAAAGATGGAGAAACATCGCAATAAGTTTTTATTCATACACATTCTTCAAAATTCCTGATAGTCTGTTCGCCCAAGACTACTAAATTGTGTTGATGACAAGTAAAAATCCAGTGATGGTAATCCCCATTGACTAGCAGCATTTGAGGGCTATGATTCTGAACCGTTTCTGAATGATTCATTTTTTATATAAAATGGAACTGAATAAAACTGTAAACATGGTAAATATTTTTGCTTCATTGAAGCAGGACTAGCTACAAAATCTTGACGACTGGTGAAATGTGTTTTCCACTCGTCGTCTGGAGTAGTCTTTAAAAAGACTGTATGGGCTTAAGGTCTCAGGGTGCCATTGTACAAAACAACCTTAGCACTACGACTGTCGTAAGTCTATGTTATAAGTCTATGTTAAAGTATGGGAGTTACGATCACCTTAGCGCTAAGATCGCTCTGTACCACAGCACCCAGGCCTATAGTACAGTTGAGTGTAATGGAGAAATGTGTATTGACTGTATGCGTTTCAGGCAGACTCTGCTCCATTATCACATCTCATTTTTGGTCAAGGTCGAGAAAGTATCATTATTTATATAACATCATACATATCATCCCTCATCACCTGTCCATTTCTGGGACTGCCAACTGCCCCAAGGCTCCCTATAGTATCTGTGTCAGTCTGGGGTCTGGGACTGCCAACTGCCCCAAGGCTCCCTATAGTATCTGTGTCAGTCTGGGGTCTGGGACTGCCAACTGACCCAAGGCTCCTTATGGTATCTGTGTCAGTCTGGGGTCTGGGACTGCCAACTGACCCAAGGCTCCCTATAGTATCTGTGTCAGTCTGGGGTCTGGGACTGCCAACTGACCCAAGGCTCCCTATAGTATCTGTGTCAGTCTGGGGTCTGGGACAGCCAACTGACCCAAGGCTCCCTATAGTATCTGTGTCAGTCTGGGGTCTGGGACTGCCAACTGACCCAAGGCTCCCTATAGTATCTGTGTCAGTCTGGGGTCTGGGACTGCCAACTGACCCAAGGCTCCCTATAGTATCTGTGTCAGTCTGGGGTCTGGGACTGCCAACTGACCCAAGGTTCCCTATAGTATCTGTGTCAGTCTGGGGTCTGTTGTTCCAGGTCCAGTTCCAGCTGAATCGCCTGTCCAAGTGTGAGATGCACTCAGCTGTGGATAAGCTGCCCACGCTGGACATCGTGTTTCCCCCCAAGAGCGAACCAGCCATTCCTTGGACTCCAAACAGGTACAGGACTGATTGTTTACTGGCAAGAGGGTGAAACTGTGGATGTTGATTTGTGACAGATGTAGCACACCTGTCTCAGGCAAAGGCCTGCTTGTCCAACTTCAGCATCAGTCATCTTTCCTCTGGAACTAGAGTTGAGACTGGGCATGCTGCCTTCACCTGCACTTATCTTGAATAATACCAGTAATTAAAAATAGCAGTGATGGCCCTTACTTGGATGGTATTTGTGAACATGGTATGTTGGGAATCTGTATTATTTTGTAGCCTGGCTAAATATTTGACCTTCTTCGTTAACCTGTTGTGAAACAGGGTAATATGGCCACCACAATGGCAGTAATTAAAATAAAAACTGTGGCTTGATATTTTTTAAGATGTTTTTTGTTTGGAATTTGGATGGTTTAAAGTTCAGTCTAGATGGGCTCAACCTTTGTCTTTCTATTTTATCCTATTGTGAGTACTGAACTTGGGTTGACCTATGCACTGTGGTGATGACCTCTCTGTGCATTTTGACCTCTCTGAACATTAATGAAGCTGAAATGAAACATGCCCACTCCTCTGGATGGGACACAGGTACAGCCCCAAACATAACACATCACCCAATATAAACTTATTGTAATTCCTTAAACTTCTGCTTGAGAGGGTCTTGTTGTGCATTCACTAACACAGTGTCTCTCTTCCAGGCAGTGGAACAGAGACATGGACAACAAGCTGAATGTGAAGCAGAAGGAGGCCATAGTGGGTGTGGTCACCGATCTCAACGTCAAGCTGCCCCCACTCCTCATCGTGGGGCCATTTGGGACCGGGAAGACATTCACCATGGCACAAGCAGCCAAGCAGGTCCTCCAGCAGGATGACACCAGGATCCTTATCTGTACCCACTCCAACAGGTAAACTGGCCCTCTCAGATGGCTAGACAGGGGCCACAATATGTTTCCTCCTGTACCCACACCAACAGGTGAACCGCCCCTCTCAGATGGCTAGACAGGGGCCACAATATGTTTCCTCCTGTACTCACACCAACAGGTGAACTGCCCCTCTCAGATGGCTAGACAGGGGCCACAATATGTTTCCTCCTGTACCCACACCAACAGGTGAACCGCCCCTCTCAGATGGCTAGACAGTGGCCACAATATGTTTCCTCCTGTACCCACACCAACAGGTGATCCGCCCCTCTCAGATGGGTGGAGCAGGGTTACTGGGGCCACAATATGTTTCCTCCTGTACCCACACCAACAGGTGATCCGCACCCTCTAAGATGGGTGGAGCAGGGTTACTGGGGCCACAATATGTTTCCTCCTGTACCCACACCAACAGCTGATCCGCCCCCTCACAGATGGCTCGACAGGGGCCACAATATGTTTCCTCCTGTACCCACACCAACAGGTAAACTGGCCCTCTCAGATGGCTAGACAGGGGCCACAATATGTTTCCTCCTGTACCCACACCAACAGGTGAACTGGCCCTCTCAGATGGCTAGACAGGGGCCACAATATGTTTCCTCCTGTACCCACACCAACAGGTGAACTGCCCCTCTCAGATGGGTGGAGCAGGGTTACTGGAGCCACAATATGTTTCCTCCTGTACCCACACCAACAGGTGATCCGCCCCCTCTCAGATGGCTCGACAGGGGCCACAATATGTTTCCTCCTGTACCCACACCAACAGGTGAACTGGCCCTGTACCCACTCCAACAGGTGAACTGGCCCTCTCAGATGGCTAGACAGGGGCCACAATATGTTTCCTCCTGTACCCACACCAACAGGTGATTCGCCCCCTCTAAGATGGCTAGACAGGGGCCACAATATGTTTCCTCCTGTACCCACACCAACAGGTGAACTGGCCCTGTACCCACTCCAACAGGTGAACTGGCCCTCTCAGATGGCTAGACAGGGGCCACAATATGTTTCCTCCTGTACCCACACCAACAGGTGATCCGCCCCTCTCAGATGGGTGGAGCAGGGTTACTGGGGCCACAATATGTTTCCTCCTGTACCCACACCAACAGGTGATCCGCCCCCTCTAAGATGGGTGGAGCAGGGTTACTGGGGCCACAATATGTTTCCTCCTGTACCCACACCAACAGGTGAACCGCCCCCTCTCAGATGGCTAGACAGGGGCCACAATATGTTTCCTCCTGTACCCACACCAACAGGTGAACCACCCCCTCTCAGATAGCTAGACAGGGGCCACAATATGTTTCCTCCTGTACCCACACCAACAGGTGAACTGGCCCTCTCAGATGGCTAGACAGGGGCCACAATATGTTTCCTCCTGTACCCACACCAACAGGTGAACCGCCCCTCTCAGATGGCTAGACAGGGGCCACAATATGTTTCCTCCTGTACCCACTCCAACAGGTGAACCGCCCCTCTCAGATGGCTAGAGCAGGGTTACTGGGGCTCACAGTGGCCACAATATGTTTCCTCCTGTACCCACACCAACAGGTGAACCGCCCCTTTTCAGATAGCTAGACAGGGGCCACAATATGTTTCCTCCTGTACCCACACCAACAGATGAACCACCCCTCTCAGATGGCTAGAGCAGAGTTACTGGGGCCACAATATGTTTCCTCCTGTACCCACACCAACAGGTGAACTGCCCCTCTCAGATGGCTAGAGCAGAGTTACTGGGGCTCACAGTGGCCACAATATGTTTCCTCCTGTACCTCCTGTACCCTCTCCAACAGGTGAACCGACCCTCTCAGATGGCTAGAGCAGAGTTACTGGGGCTCACAGTGGCCACAATATGTTTCCTCCTGTACCTCCTGTACCCACTCCAACAGGTGAACCGCCCCTCTCAGATGGCTAGACAGTGGCCACAATATGTTTCCTCCTGTACCTCCTGTACCCACACCAACAGGTGAACCGCCCCTCTCAGATGGCTAGACAGTGGCCACAATATGTTTCCTCCTGTACCTCCTGTACCCACACCAACAGGTGAACCGACCCTCTCAGATGGCTAGAGCAGAGTTACTGGGGCTCACAGTGGCCACAATATGTTTCCTCCTGTACCTCCTGTACCCACTCAACAGGTGAACCGCCCCTCTCAGATGGCTAGACAGTGGCCACAATATGTTTCCTCCTGTACCTCCTGTACCCACACTAACAGGTGAACCGCCCCTCTCAGATGGCTAGACAGGGGCCACAATATGTTTCCTCCTGTACCCACACCAACAGGTGAACCGCCCCTCTCAGATGGCTAGATAGGGGCCACAATATGTTTCCTCCTGTACCCACTCCAACAGGTGAACCGACCCTCTCAGATGGCTAGAGCAGAGTTACTGGGGCTCACAGTGGCCACAATATGTTTCCTCCTGTACCTTCTGTACCCACTCCAACAGGTGAACCGCCCCTCTCAGATTGCTAGACAGGGGCCACAATATGTTTCCTCCTGTACCCACACCAACAGGTGAACCGCCCCTCTCAGATGGCTAGACAGTGGCCACAATATGTTTCCTCCTGTACCTCCTGTACCCACTCCAACAGGTGAACTGCCCCTCTCAGATTGCTAGACAGGGGCCACAATATGTTTCCTCCTGTACCCACACCAACAGGTGAACCGCCCCTCTCAGATGGCTAGACAGGGGCCACAATATGTTTCCTCCTGTACCCACACCAACAGGTGAACCGCCCCCTCTCAGATGGCTAGAGCAGAGTTACTGGGGCCACAATATGTTTCCTCCTGTACCCACACCAACAGGTGATCCACCCCCTCTCAGATGGCTAGAGCAGAGTTACTGGGGCCACAATATGTTTCCTCCTGTACCCACACCAACAGGGGAACTGCCCCTCTCAGATGGCTAGACAGGGGCCACAATATGTTTCCTCCTGTACCCACACCAACAGGTGATCCGCCCCTCTCAGATGGCTAGACAGGGGCCACAATATGTTTCCTCCTGTACCCACACCAACAGGTGAAGCGCCCCCTCTCAGATGGCTAGACAGGGGCCACAATATGTTTCCGCCTGTACCCACTCCAACAGGTGAACTGGCCCTCTCAGATGGCTAGAGCAGGGTTACTGGGGCCACAATTTGTTTCCGCCTGTACCCACACCAACAGGTGATCCGCCCCTCTCAGATGGCTAGATAGGGGCCACAATATGTTTCCTCCTGTACCCACTCCAACAGGTGAACCGACCCTCTCAGATGGCTAGACAGGGGCCACAATATGTTTCCTCCTGTACCCACACCAACAGGTGATCCGCCCCTCTCAGATGGCTAGACAGGGGCCACAATATGTTTCCTCCTGTACCCACACCAACAGGTGAACCGCCCCTCTCAGATGGCTAGACAGTGGCCACAATATGTTTCCTCCTGTACCCACACCAACAGGTGATCCACCCCTCTCAGATGGCTAGACAGGGGCCACAATATGTTTCCTCCTGTACCCACACCAACAGGTGAACCGCCCCTCTCAGATGGCTAGAGCAGGGTTACTGGGGCCACAATATGTTTCCGCCTGTACCCACACCAACAGGTGATCCGCCCCCTCTCAGATGGCTAGAGCAGGGTTACTGGGGCCACAATATGTTTCCGCCTGTACCCACACCAACAGGTGATCCGCCCCCTCTCAGATGGCTAGAGCAGGGTTACTGGGGCCACAATATGTTTCCTCCTGTACCCACACCAACAGGTGAACCCTCCCCCCCCCCCCTCTCAGATGGGTCGAGCAGGGTTACTGGGGCTCACAGGGGCCCCAAATGTTTCATTCAGTATCAGTACATATAGATTTGTACATAATTTCTTTTGTCATTTGCACATCAATCACACTGAACTGTCTTCCTTGCCAACGGTATATGGATCTATACCTAAATGTCGCCTTTACAGTAAAAAAAGAAGTTATCCAATTGTGTCTACTTTGTTTACCTCAGGGTAGGGTTTCAGGTCAGGGGATTTCACTAATCAATTGATAATATTAATAATTTATATCTTTTCATTTATATCTATTAATATGCAAGAAACCTTAGCCCAACATATTGATTGATAATTTACAGACTGCCGTCATATAGCTGGAATATGGCTCAGTGCGGTGTTAAACAACAAACAAACATCATTGTTAATATGCAAGAAAACTTGACTGCACATATCAATTGATTTTGACATAGTACTGGAGTGAGACTGATCCAGGGTTCTTCGATTGCTTTGCTTGTAGTGCGGCAGATCTGTACATCCGAGAGTTCTTCCACCCGTATGTGGAAGACAACCACCCAGAAGCACGGCCACTGCGTGTGTTGTATCGGCAGCGCTGGGTGCAGACAGTGTCCGACATTGTCCTGGACTATTGCCTGTGGGACAAGTCCGTGGGGCTGTTCCGGTATCCTGGGCTGGAAGACCTTGAAAAACACAGGATCGTCATCACCACACTCAGCACGTCACGATACATCAGTGACCTTGACCTACCATCAGGTGAGAAGGAGCATGTCAGCACTTGCCCATTTACCCCAAACAGTTTGGCACAGTTAAAGCGATGTGCGTGAGAAATTCTTGTTTTGTTTTTCTCTAGTAATATACTCTTCATAAAAAGTAGGGGATCATGCCATATAAATGTTAAGAACAAGTATGTCATGTTAACTCCCGTAATATGAAACAATCGGGTGGGCCCTTAACATATTTTTTGAGTGGTACAGGAACAGCCCTGCAGTTCTTGTTCATTCAAAGAGCTGACTAAAATGGTGATTCGGTGTGAGTGAGTGAGTTAACATTTATAGTCACATCGGTAGTGTTTCAGCCATATAGTGACCAGAATTAGTTAAATACTACTCAACAGACCCGTGATCTGGGGTAGAATTGGCCTTCAGTATCCCATGCTTGTTGTAAGAGACGATTTTGCTTGTTGTAAGAGGTGACTAACGGGATTGGGTTGTCAGGCTCACTGAGTTGGATCGATGCTCACTGGATTTCTGGGCCAGACTCGATTATTTACAGACGGACGTCATGTACCTGGAATATTGCTGAGTGTGGCTTTAAACAACAAACAAACAAATATAGTGATGATTTAGTTTGCATATTTTTCGCAAACATGCAGCTGTGTCCTATAGAGTAGTAACAAAGACTACTCAACATGTTCATGGGAACAAAACAGTTATCTTTAGTCAAGTAATCCTTACCAATAATAAAGTAGTGTACAATAATACTGATCATGTGATGACAATGCTAGCAGGAGACAAATAGTATGTATGGATGACCACTGGGGACGTGTCTGCTCTGCTGTTGCCTGTCTTAGTGCGTACTAGTTCCATGACAGCATGTTACAATGTGTTTGTAATTTAACACTACAAGCCCGCTATATGATGCAGCCTTTATCCAGACAGCCCAGTTATTATCCCCCGCCACGAAGTGGAAGGGGGATATAGGAATGGGTGCCGTCCGTCCGTTCTTCCGTCCGGCCGTCACATTTCGTTTCCGGAGCAGATCTTGAAAACCGTACCATATTTCTTCACCAAACTTGGCACATAGATAGATATAGTGGTGAACTGGTGCCTTTTGATAGTTGGGGATTTTAAAAAAAATTATTTTTCGAGGTTTCCATGGCAACGACTTTGATTTAGACTGAAAATGGCGGTAGTCCTCGTTTCCGGAGCAGATCTTGAAAACTGTACTATATTTCTTCACCAAACTTGGCACATAGATAGATCTAGTGGTGAACTGGTGCCTTTTGATAGTTTGGGATTTTAAAAAAAAAAAAATTTGAGTTTCCATGGCAACAACTTTGATTTAGACTGAAAATGCCGGTAGTCCTCGTTTCCGGAGCAGATCTTGAAAACTGTACCATATTTCTTCACCAAACTTGGCACATAGATAGATCTAGTGGTGAACTGGTGCCTTTTGATACTTTGGGATTTTTTAAAAAGTTATTTTTCGAGTTTCCATGGCAACAACTTTGATTTAGACTGAAAATTGTGGTAGTCCTCGTTTCCGGAGCAGATCTTGAAAACTGTACCATATTTCTTCACCAAACTTGGCACATAGATAGATCTAGTGGTGAACTGGTGCCTTTTGATAGTTTGGGATTTTAAAAAAAATTATTTTTCGAGTTTCCATGGCAACGACTTTGATTTAGACTGAAAATGGCGGTAGTCCTCGTTTCCGGAGCAGATCTTCAAAACCGTACCATATTTCTTCACCAAACTTGGCACATAGATAGATCTAGTGGTGAACTGGTGCCTTTTGATAGTTTGGGATTTTAAAAAAAAAAAAATCGAGTTTCCATGGCAATGACTTTGATTTAGACTGAAAATGGCGGTAGTCCTCGTTTCCGGAGCAGATCTTGAAAACCGTACAATTTTTCTTAACCATATTTTGCACATTGATTGGTCTAGTGGTGAACTGGTGCCTTTTGATAGTTTGGGATTTTTTTTAAAAGTTATTTTTCAAGTTTCCATGGCAACGACTTTGATTTAGACTGAAAATGGTGGTAGTCCTCGTTTCCGGAGCAGATCTTGAAAAACGTACTATATTTCTTTACAAAAAGGCCCAGTGAACATAGTTCACATGGGGCTAATGCATTGCACACACCCGACATGTCATATTGGCGTTGGATGTGATTATTTCATGCTTGTTGATATTGATACACCTTCAGTATGATAAAACCAACGAAGTCAGTTAACCTGATCACAGATCTTAGTTGCCTGTCATGACAAGGACAAATTGTTTTGACCTTCTCCAACGTGGAATCAGCAGGGGAGACAACAATGTAACAACAGTATTACTCGCCACAGACTTGTTGCCTTGTCTTGACTCAGTGACTGTGTTGTTGCTGGCTAGGATGTGAGTCATTATCTCAGCGTTCATTTCTGCTTGTTCATATCTCTGCATAATGTATTTATGACGGGTGAGTACTAGTGAGTGATGGTGGTGTTGTTCTCTGTCCCCCCAGGTTTCTTCACCCACATCTTCATAGACGAGGCAGCACAGGCTCTGGAGAGCGAGACTCTCATCCCTCTCGCCATGGCAGGAGAATCCACAAGGATCGTACTGGCAGGGGATCACATGCAGGTTTGTCACTACATCTTTCACTAAGTCAGTCACTCGCTACATCTTTCACTAAGTCAGTCACTCGCTACATCTTTCACTAAGTCAGTCACTCACTCAGTGGACCGTCTTCATGGTCTAGTGGTAGAGCGTCCACCGAGAGAGAGAGCGGAAGGTCCGGGGTTCGATCCCCGGCTGCGTCATACATAAAGACATTAAAAGATGGTACTTGTTGTTACCCTGTCTGGTTCCCTGCATTAAGGGGCTACAACATGGACTGGTAGGCTGAGTGAGGTATTCATGTTAAACTGCAGCATGGTATCTCAGTGGGCTAGCACTATCAATGGGCATCAGTCCGGACTAGTACAAGCAGACACACACTGACACACACACACTGACACACACACACTGACACACACACACACACACACACACACACACACACACACTGACACACACACTGACACACACACACACACACACACTGACACACACACACTGACACTGACACTGACACACACACACTGACACACACACACACACTTGCGATAGCTTCACCTGCTAAATCACTCACTAAGTCAGTTAGAGAATTGCTAAAAGTGCCCTGAAACTCTACTGACTGTATGAATGTTCCAGCTAAGTCCTGAGGTGTACTCGGACTACACCCGGCAGCAGGGTTTCCACTCCTCCCTCCTGGAGCGTCTGTACGAGCTGTACCCAGCCGACTCCGCCTGCAAGATCATGCTGTGTGAGAACTACAGGTCACACTCCGCCATCGTGGACTTCACGTCCGAGCTGTTCTACGACAACAAGCTGATCGCCAGCGGGAAGCTGACTGCCCACAACAGCCACCACCCACTGACCTTCTACGCAGCCAAGGGGGAGGAGATCCAGCACGCCAACAGCACAGGCTTCTACAACAACTCTGAGGTGAGACAAGGGAGATAACTAGTGGGGGACGTGGATCACTGTGATATTACCAGCTGAAATATATATGAAAAAACAAACAAACATTTGTAATGAGATACACAGACAGTTGACAGATAAGATGTAATGCTGGGTTTTTGCGTCCACCAGGTGTACGAAATTGTTGAAAGAGTTGATGAACTGGTGAAGAAATGGCCAGAGGACTGGGGACCCATTGAGGAGAGTGGGATTGGCGTTGTAGCTCCCTACTCTGACCAGGTGAGCCCAACAAACTTTAGAAATTGAATTGCAATCAGGAATTGTAATCAATGGAACATTAAGTTCTTTTATGCTGACTGAAAACAATTGTGCAAAGTATTTTAGCTTGTGCATGTCAAGACAGTAACCTACTTGCTTGAACATAACAATACAGCTATGTTAAACATAGTTTAGTTACTTTATAACCCTGCCTTTAATCATAGAATTACAGATTTGACCTGGCCACATGCCAACATGATAATGATTGCTCTCATAGTTTTGAGAAAAGTTGCTAAATGCTGAGCCATTGAATTATCAGCAGGCCTTAACAAGTCAATTTTGTAAGAGCTGCCATTCCAGAATACTTATCCCATTTTAATTTTAGGTGATCCGTATTCGAGCTGAGATGAGGAAGAAGAAGATGTTCAACATCTCTGTGGAGCGAGTGCTCAACGTGCAGGGTAAGCTGCAGCTTCCTCTCACCTTGACCTTCCTCTCACCTTGACCTTCCTCTCACCTTGACCTTCCTCTCACCTTGACCTTCCTCTCACCTTGACCTTCCTCACCCTGACCTTCCCCTCATCTTGACCTTCACTGATGTTGTGATGGAGGAGGAAGTTACGACATCATGAGAAGTTGACAAAAAGACGTCTGCTGTCTAATCTTCGATAAACACCCTCTCATGTAGCTCATTCCTCAATGTGTAAAAAACATTTTGTATGGTGATATATGAAAAAAAAATCCAAACATGAAAAACTTGTACTCATCCTCTGAATGTGGTTGTTGACAATTTTGAACCGTTGGAATAGTGCCAGTTTCCAACACTAAATCTTGTTTCTAATATCCTTGTTCCTTTGCTTCACTGGATAATGGTTAACTAAATGTTGCAATGTTAACATTGCTTTGCAGCTTTTGTTATGATCTGCTTTATTCTGTTTTCATGTAATTCTTTTCCAGGCAAACAGTATCGTGTGATCATCTTAAGCACAGTGCGGACACGCCACACTTGCCGTTCAGACACGAGTGTTGAGGACCTGATGGACTATGGCTTCCTGTCGAATGTGAAGCTCCTCAATACAGCCATCACACGTGCTCAGTCTCTCGTCATCGTTGTCGGCGACCCAGTTTCCCTCTGCCTTGTTGGCAAGTGCAGGTATATAAATAAATAAATTGGGTGATTAATAGTGATTCAGTGGCATTTGATTGGCGAAACAAAAAAATAAATGGCATACATGTTTCCATAAACCAGAAAAACATTAGGTCATGTCTGATTGGCCGATAGTAGAATAGGCAGGGTTTGTGAGGTATTATTCTGTTAAACGATGTCACTGATTGAGTACTGTTGTCTACAGTTTTTTGCACGTGTGTGTCTGTGTGGCTGCTTGTACTAGTCTGGACTGATAACAATTCATGGTGCTAAGCCACTGAGATACCATGCCGCAGATTGACATGAATACCCCTCATTACATTCACAGTCCCATGAAGAATCAGGGTTAGAATTGAATACCCCACTCAGACACAGTATACTGACTCCAATCCGACCAGTCCTTGTTTTAGCCCCTTAATGCCGAGCGCCAGACAGGGTAACAACATGTACCATCTTTTAACGTCTTTTGGTATGACATTGTCAGGGATCAAACCCCGGACCTTCTGCTCTCCGGGCAGATGCTCTACCACTAGACCACGGAGGCAGTCCACCAAAGTAGTAACTGACTTGGACCTGCATCACTTAGGGCTCTCCTATTTTAGCTATGTTGCCATATAACTGTTCAAGGCAGAGTTAAACACTACTCATTCACTCACTGAATGCATGTTAAACATCAACCTTCTGATGAACTGATATCCAGGTGTTTTAGTTGGAGAGTGAGCCATGGTGACCACCTTCTGATTCTCTCCCCAGGAAAGTGTGGGAGTACTATCTGGAGATCTGCAACAAGAGCAGCAGTTTCCACGGCATGACCTGGACGAGTCTCCGTTCACAGCTGGACGGCGCGGAAATGACCAAGACGTACGTCCTGAATCCCCTGGCACCGGAATTTGTCCCGAATCGTTTGTTCCACAACACCCAGTCGGCAGCAGACGCAGCGGGCCAGTTCCTCCAGGGGATGCCCCACAACATGCCCTGGCAGCACCTTAGTCCGTACCATCCCATGACAACATCGTATGGACACTCCGTCATTCAGCCGGTAGGTGCACATGGATGCAGTAGGGCTTTACTTTGTTTCAGATATCTCAGTGAATGTAATCACTTTAACATGTTGATGAAAAAGACTGCAATATTTGCCTCACTCTGTCACATTGTTGATAAAAGGTTGCAGCCAGAAAAGTTGAAATCTGTTCTCAATAAGATTTCATCAGTTCCAGCTTTTAAGGTCTTTTCGCATAAAAATATTTTGTTTGGGACAAAAAGGATGAATGACTGTCGATTCTAAATTAATTGCATTATCTTGCTTTCAACTCTCTTTTGAGGGAGTTAAAATTTAACGTTGCCTCAGCATTATTTTTAGAAACAAATTTGTCAAACATTTGGCATAACAATATTTGCCTCTTATGGGACTGATAAGACTATGAAGTAGAACCATTTCACTCACTCATTCATTAGCTCACAGACTACAATCGCAGTCACCTGCTGTTTTACTCACCCACTTTCTCACACTATCATCTCACATTCATTATTTCACACCCTCAGACTCTTGGTCTTACACTCACTATCTCACCCTCTATCTGACACTCATTATCACACCCTCTATCTGACACACACTATCTCACCCACTATATGACACTCACTATCTCACCCACTATCTCACATTCACTATTTCACCCAATGTCTGACACTATCTCACCCACTTTGTGACACTCACTATCTGCCATTCACTATTTCACCCACTATCTCACCCACTATCTGACATTCACTATTTCACCCACTATCTGACACTCACTATCTCACCCTCTATCTGACACTCACTATCTCACTCACTATCTGACATTCACTATTTCACCCATTATCTGACAATCACTATCTCACCCACTATCGGACACTCTCTCACCCACTATCTGACACTCTCCCACCCACTATGTGACACTCTCTCACCCACCATTTGACGCTCTCTCACCCACTATGTGACACTCACCCTCTCACCCATTATCTGACACTCTCTCACCCACTATGTGACACTCACCCTCTCACCCACTATCTGACGCTCTCATCCACTATGTGACACTCTCTCACTCACTATCTGACCCACTACCTGACACTCTCTCAACCATTATCTGACACTCTCTCATCCACTATGTGACACTCACTCTCTCATCCATTATGTGACACTCACCCTCTCACCCACTATCTGACCCTCTCACCCACTATGTGACACTCTCTCACTCACTATCAGACCCGCTATCTGACACTCTCTCACCCACTATGTGACACTCACCCTCTCACCCACTATCTGACGCTCTCACCCACTATGTGACACTCTCTCACTCACTATCTGACCCACTACCTGACACTCTCTCAACCATTATCTGACACTCTCTCATCCACTATGTGACACTCACTCTCTCATCCACTATGTGACACTCACCCTCTCACCCACTATCTGACCCTCTCACCCACTATGTGACACTCTCTCACTCACTATCTGACCCGCTATCTGACACTCTCTCACCCACTATGTGACACTCACCCTCTCACCCACTATCTGACGCTCTCACCCACTATGTGACACTCTCTCACTCACTATCTGACCCACTACCTGACACTCTCTCAACCATTATCTGACACTCTCTCACCCACTATGTGACACTCACTCTCTCATCCACTATGTGACACTCACCCTCTCACCCACTATCTGACGCTCTCACCCACTATGTGACACTCTCTCACTCACTATCTGACCCACTACCTGACACTCTCTCAACCATTATCTGACACTCTCTCACTCACTATCTGACACGCTATCTGACACTCTCTCACCCACTGTGTGACACCCTCTCACCCACTATCTGACCCGCTATCTGACACTCTCTCAACCATTATCTGACACTCTCTCACTCACTATCTGACCCGCTATCTGACACTCTCTCACCCACTATCTGACCCGCTATCTGACGCTCTCTCACCCACTGTGTGACACCCTCTCACCCACTATCTGACCCTCTCTCACTCACTATCTGACCCGCTATCTGACACTCTCTCAACCATTATCTGACACTCTCTCACTCACTATCTGACCCGCTATCTGACACTCTCTCACTCACTATCTGACCCGCTATCTGACACTCTCTCACCCACTGTGTGACACCCTCTCACCCACTATCTGACCCACTACCTGACACTCTCTCAACCATTATCTGACACTCTCTCACTCACTATCTGACCCGCTATCTGACACTCTCTCACCCACTATCTGACCCGCTATCTGACGCTCTCTCACCCACTGTGTGACACCCTCTCACCCACTATCTGACCCTCTCTCACTCACTATCTGACCCGCTATCTGACACTCTCTCAACCATTATCTGACACTCTCTCACTCACTATCTGACCCGCTATCTGACACTCTCTCACTCACTATCTGACCCGCTATCTGACACTCTCTCACCCACTGTGTGACACCCTCTCACCCACTATCTGACCCACTACCTGACACTCTCTCAACCATTATCTGACACCCTCTCACCCACTATCTGACCCACTACCTGACACTCTCTCACCCACTATCTGACCCTCTCTCACTCACTATCTGACCCGCTATCTGACACTCTCTCACCCACTATGTGACACTCTCTCACCCACTATCTGACCCGCTACCTGACACTCTCTCAACCATTATCTGACACTCTCTCACTCACTATCTGACCCACTATCTGACACTCTCTCACTCACTATCTGACCCACTATCTGACACTCTCTCACTCACTATCTGACCCACTATCTGACACTCTCTCAACCATTATCTGACACTCTCTCACTCACTATCTGACCCGCTATCTGACACTCTCTCACCCACTGTGTGACACCCTCTCACCCACTATCTGACCCACTACCTGACACTCTCTCAACCATTATCTGACACTCTCTCACTCACTATCTGACCCGCTATCTGACACTCTCTCACCCACTATCTGACCCGCTATCTGACGCTCTCTCACCCACTGTGTGACACCCTTTCACCCACTATCTGACCCTCTCTCACTCACTATCTGACCCGCTATCTGACACTCTCTCAACCATTATCTGACACTCTCTCACTCACTATCTGACCCGCTATCTGACACTCTCTCACTCACTATCTGACCCGCTATCTGACACTCTCTCAACCATTATCTGACACTCTCTCACTCACTATCTGACCCGCTATCTGACACTCTCTCACCCACTGTGTGACACTCTCTCACTCACTATCTGACCCGCTATCTGACACTCTCTCACCCACTATGTGAGACTCACCATCTCACCCACTATCTGACCCACTACCTGACACTCTCTCACTCACTATCTGACCCGCTATCTGACACTCTCTCACCCACTGTGTGACACCCTCTCACCCACTATCTGACCCGCTATCTGACACTCTCTCAACCATTATCTGACACTCTCTCACTCACTATCTGACCCGCTATCTGACACTCTCTCACCCACTATCTGACCCGCTATCTGACGCTCTCTCACCCACTGTGTGACACCCTCTCACCCACTATCTGACCCTCTCTCACTCACTATCTGACCCGCTATCTGACACTCTCTCAACCATTATCTGACACTCTCTCACTCACTATCTGACCCGCTATCTGACACTCTCTCACTCACTATCTGACCCGCTATCTGACACTCTCTCACCCACTGTGTGACACCCTCTCACCCACTATCTGACCCACTACCTGACACTCTCTCAACCATTATCTGACACTCTCTCACTCACTATCTGACCCGCTATCTGACACTCTCTCACCCACTGTGTGACACTCTCTCACTCACTATCTGACCCGCTATCTGACACTCTCTCACCCACTATGTGAGACTCACCATCTCACCCACTATCTGACCCGCTATCTGACGCTCTCTCACCCACTGTGTGACACCCTCTCACCCACTATCTGACCCTCTCTCACTCACTATCTGACCCGCTATCTGACACTCTCTCAACCATTATCTGACACTCTCTCACTCACTATCTGACCCGCTATCTGACACTCTCTCACTCACTATCTGACCCGCTATCTGACACTCTCTCACCCACTGTGTGACACCCTCTCACCCACTATCTGACCCACTACCTGACACTCTCTCAACCATTATCTGACACTCTCTCACTCACTATCTGACCCGCTATCTGACACTCTCTCACCCACTGTGTGACACTCTCTCACTCACTATCTGACCCGCTATCTGACACTCTCTCACCCACTATGTGAGACTCACCATCTCACCCACTATCTGACCCACTACCTGACACTCTCTCACTCACTATCTGACCCGCTATCTGACACTCTCTCAACCATTATCTGACACTCTCTCACTCACTATCTGACCCGCTATCTGACACTCTCTCACTCACTATCTGACCCGCTATCTGACACTCTCTCACCCACTGTGTGACACCCTCTCACCCACTATCTGACCCACTACCTGACACTCTCTCAACCATTATCTGACACTCTCTCACTCACTATCTGACCCGCTATCTGACACTCTCTCACTCACTCTCTCACCCACTATCTGACCCTCTCACCCACTATGTGACCCTCTCACCCACTATGTGAGACTCACCATCTCCCTGTCCCCGTTACAGATGTACCAGCCTCCAGTGATGCCGTACTACCCGATGCCCATGTACCACCCCGGCTTCTTCAGCCCGATGGTGTACCGGCCGTACATCCCACACCGTCAGGGCAGCCCGGTCAGTGGAAGGTCCAGCTCACCCAAGACAGTCACAACCAGAGCTACACCCATGCCCCCAGCCAATCACAGCATGCGTGGTCGACCCGAACACGGCAAGGCTTCACCAGAGGGAGCAAAACAAGGGGATCATCCTCCATCCCACATGAAGACATTCTACAAGCAACCCAAAAGTCGCATGATGGTGTATCTGCCGCCTCGGATGCCGATGTCTTACCCACCCTATTACCACCATCCCATGTTCCCACATCATCCCTACTTCTACATTGGGGATGAACACCACCCTCACAGAATGTCTCTCCATCAGCCTCCATTCATGCCTCAAGGCCCCCGCTTCGCTCCCTATGGTCCAATGTTACCCTATGGCCACCCCTCCGGGCCTCAGGCAGTGGAGCGAGGTCAGAGCTCAGGGCCGTCGTCTGGGTCCAACTCTAATGTGTCCACTCCAACACCAATGGAAGATGCTGAAATGAGGAGCAGATCGGAGGATCGGTCGTCGCCATCTGTGTCGGGGCAGAAGATTCAGCTGATGCCAGGAGTTAAACATGTTCCAGCTCACCTTCTGAACACAGAAGGGAAAGAAGTGGGGTCAAAGAGTAGCACATCCGCTAGTCCACCCCCTGAGGACCGGCGGGAAGAGAGGAGGTCGACCCCTCTGTCAGAGAGACCCTACAGTCCAGCAAACTATGGGAAAATGGCAGACAATAACAAGGTGGAGAAGATTAACAACAGAGACAACTTTACTGTCGTTTCAAATAAGAAACAAGCTAGAAAGCAGCTAAAACTGAAAACAGGGTTCAGTCGTCAGTTCAGCGACGACCTGCCAACTCCTACCGAGATCACGGACTTGGTGAGGATGATTGAAGAAAGCATTGAGGAAAAGAAAGAAGACGAGGAACCACTGCCGAAAAACAAACCCGGGGAACTCAATGGACAGAGTCGACTGTCCTCACTCACAAAACTCCAGCTCAACCTGAACAACGGGCAGGACCAGTCCGACAAAGGTGCAGAACCTTCATCTGCTGGGAGTCAGAACGGAGAAAAGCTGTCCTACGCAGGAGTTCTCAGGAAGCCACCATTGCCTCCTGCACCAGTGTCCAAAAATGGGTCTAGTATGGACACCTCTCCCTTGATCGAACCTCAGACCCCTCGGACCCCGTCTGGCTTCATCACCCCAGGCACCGAGATGGAGATGGACCCGTTCGGCATCCTCAAGAGTCTTAACATTGAGTCCTCCCCACAGCATCATCGCTATCCTCACTACTAAACCTCGGCTCCTGTGTTCTGTGACCAGGAACTCATCAGTCCACCATTTTACATTTGCATATAGAAACTGACTTAGGAGATCTTTAACAAGTATGGCAGTTGATCACCGACGTGTATGATCATGACTCTGTTCAGTCCACAATGTTTCCACTCAATCACCAACACATGTGGATAGTTTTATTTGTTGACTGTCGGAGACAGGACCATGGGAGACGTGTAGATTTTGCTTTGTAGGTACTGCCCTATGTTCTCTGTTCTCTGTGTTCGTGTTAGAGCAAGGGTACGTCCAAGTGCTTGGTAGATTAGTTTCCTAGCTTCTCACTGTCTTGCCTCAGAGATGTAGTGCAGTCTATATATTTTCTCTAGTTATTTTCCTGGTAGGTATGTCAGTGTGTTGTCACCTAGATGTTGGTTCTCTGAAACTAATCATCCAAATAGGAGTTGAGTTGGATACAAGTTAGATGATCGTTAGATACAATTGACTGTTATGTTTAGTGTGGAACATGTTCTTTATCTATGAAGAATTACACCAAGCAGGTTTTACACCAATGGTTTCAAACTAAGTTAGGAAATGATATTTTGACTCATGACTTCTATTTAGGTTTCTATTTATTAACAATTACGTTCTCTATGAAAACGGTGAATAAGAATAAAAAGTACCATGAATTACTGGTAAAAGTAATTCTTGATACATATACTGATGGGAATTAATAAGGGAACACTCAGTTTTAGACAGTAAAATGATGTGCTGTCATGGCTTCCCAGCCTTGTCTACCAAAATGCTTTGGAAACAATGCACACAAACAGGTCTTAACATTTGATTCAGACGTGTGTTATAATTTGTGCGTGCTATTTCAAATGTATAGAAAAGCTGATTTAACTATATTGTTCCCTTAATTGTTTCGATCAGTATATTATGGTGTTTATATGAACAGCCACTACGAGTTTATCGGTCACTGTTTTCTCACGAGCATGGTGCAATTGTTATATTATCTGTCCATGAGTCTAAAAACAAGTGATTTTAGTATTGCGATATTGTGTACCCCGGTATCTGCTATTTGGATGTGTAGGTTACCTGGATGGGACATTCATGTTTATCACAAATACTGATGTTGTTAAGCAATGGCTGTGAATATCTTAGTGACATTTTCCATTGTCAGAAATGAATTGAGTGTGATCAAAGATTAGATTTATTTACTGTTGTTATGGAAACCGCAAGATTGAAACATTAAGTTTCATTTTATGTTGGGCACTTAGCAACGCACAGAAAACTCCCCAACTAGCTTTGTGTTAGAAGTACAGTTAAACATGTGATAACTGTTTCTGTTTTTGTGAATCGAACTGTGTGTTAAGTAGCCATCATCTTGACCCGAGAGTATCTGTTGGAAACTACCCAACTTGGCGCAGTGTAAGTAATAATATTTCATTGCTCCTCATCGTGCAATGATAGGATTGGGTGTAGCTTCATTTGTCAATTTCTTCTTTCACCAGTCGCACATGTAGTTAAGTATCCTGCGAGAGAGGAAGAGGAACACCATTCGTTGGGTTGCTCATTGTTAGAAGTAGTTGTGACAAACTGCCTGATACTGAACGAGTACATGGGAGACAATATGATGTATGGGAAGACAAGTATTTTGATACCTAAAACAAGAGCAAGTTCATCTTGATTATCAATTTCAGTGTGACTTTATCAAAAGGCAGCTACACAAATCAACATGGTATCAAATCAGTTTTGCATCAATAAGAGTTGTTTGGTCTAATTGTACATCATGAGACTAAAGAAATGGCGTTATTTACGTCCAGTCATGTTGGAGATTTTTTCATCTTCAGATATATTCTCGCAGTCACGTTCAGCTTTCAGTGTCGTCAAGTAAAACCGTGGATTGTGTAGGTTTGTGAATGATGCAGCGAAAGAAGAATCATGGCGTTCAGGACATAATAGCATAATAACATGTAACTCCTTTAGCTTGTAGAGGGTTAACTGGGCTCTTGGAAGGAGAGGAGTTACTCTGAACATTTCCTGTGTGTGGGCAAGATGGCGCGACACCCCTGAAGAACATTTATGACTTGTGAGTGAGTCAGTCAGATTTCACAGCCAGGGAATACCAGAAATGGGCTTCAAATTGTACCCATGTGGGAAATTGTGGAGTGAACGCTTTAACCACTAGGCTAGCCCACTGACCCTGACCTTGTGAGAGGTATGAGAATATTTCCCTAGCAACTAGTTTAGTGTATTTTGGTTATATGTCAAATTGAGAACATTGTGGACAAGCAGTCAGGAGTTTGTCTTGACTCTGAATAGGCAGAATCAATGGCCTATATGCAAACTTATTCTTCCAGTCAAAGCCCACAAAAAAATCATGGCTCTATGATTACTGTAAGTCTGTGTTCAAGTATTGGAATTAGCAAAGTCTCTTTGTTCATGGTAAGGGAGATATCTTTCTAACAAACACAGACCACCGAGAGCTTGTGATATAACGTAGATAGTAACATAGCTACACAGTTGTTCCAAGGTGCAGTTTTATTCACTCACACTAGGCCATTTGTATATCCATTGAACGCCACACTTAGGAATATGCGAGCTGAATGACGGCAATAATCCACTCTGGGACAGACAATCCAGTGATTGATATTGTGAGCAATGATCACGTTGTCAGGGTACGATGATGGCCCAAGTGATGGAGTCAGACCACCCGATCCATTTGGTCGCCTCTTACAACCAGAATAGGTTCCTAGGGATCTCTCAGGGGCGGTCGGGAAGCCTAGTGGTTAAAGCGTTCGCTCGTCACGCCGAAGACCCGGGTTCGATTCCCGACATGGGTACAATGTGTGAAGCCCATTTCTGGTGTCCCCCGCCGTGATATTGCTGGAATATTGCTAAAAGCGGCGTAAAACCAAACTCACTCACTCCTAGGGATCTCTATAACCGACACTGGGCTCACCGGTAGTCTGATCTTGCGATGTTGTAAACCCTGTGTAAAGGCCCTTCAGAGCAGTTCCAGTGTGTGACACTGCAATGGCTGATGGGGTGTTCAGCAAGAAATCACTCTCATCTTGTGGAGAGTTGTACAGTGACCTGCCAAGACAAACAGGGGATGTTCAGAGGGCCCTCTCCATCAGGGAATATTCAGGGGATATTGTCAAAGTCACTGCAAAGCTTATCTGTATAAACCAAGAGCTTATCTGATCCTTGTCTCACTGCTTTGATTTTCAAATACTATTGTATATTTCTTGCCTCGTATACCACTTGGCCTATACTAAAGATCCTGGCTTCAGAATGTACAGTCAATAAACATGTTTACTGCCTATTTGGTAAAACCTATCTGCATGTACATTAGGTCCTTTATAGCTCTACTGTATGAAGCATTTCAATACATCTGCAGTAAGATTGTTTATGATGTTTTTCTCATCTGAATATATATTGATATTGATCCTGGTACATATTTTGATCTTGTCAGTTTTAGAATTGACTGTTTTATTATAATTCTCCTATCATGACAAAATATTCTTTAAAAAAACTTTTTCTGTTGCATTTGGAAATGCAAACACATGATTCAAGGGAGATAACTCCATATATTTGGCATATGGATAAGGTCCCTCGGATCGACTTCGGTACAGCGAGACACAATGGATTAATTTTACTGTACTGAATAATACTGTGCTGGACTACGACCAGGCAGAAAGAATTTACAGTGAACTACAATATTTAAACCAGTTAAATTATGTTATAGTCAGTACTTCCTATGTTAAATAGGACTTTCAGTTTTGGCATCAGTGTCAGTTTATGAAGTGACATATTTAGTTGTAAGAACATCTCGGATATTTAACCAATGCTGTACACATTATTAAGTGTACTGTTTAATCTGTGTTGAAAATCTTCTACTTGTGATAGCATGAATATATTTAATGACTATTTCAAAAGTATTTTTGATACATTTGTCCAGTTAGGGTGAAGAGTTTTAAGTGTAATGAGTTGAGCTGTCACTAAGGACTGCAATTTTAGTTACTGAAGGTACCGCAGACTGTTTGCATGCATTACAGTGAGATGACTGTTTGAAAAGTACCAATATTGAATTCTGCGTCTCATATTGGCCTGCCCTCTTAATTTAACTAGTTGCATTTTTAGTAAAAGAAATTTTAGATTTAAGAAGGCCCTTTTGTGGATGAAATTACACAGGCAGAATTTATGTTAACTTATTTTATACAGTCATCTCATGTCTGTCTTGCAGACTCAGATGTAATGAATTCAATTTAGCAATAAGAAAAGGTTGAGAGATTAGTTGGAGACAAAGGCCATGCCTCTCATCATCCATATTCAAATCACAAATAACATCACCACCTTATGTAACCCCTGGCAACTGATGCTGGTCACCATGGAAACTGGAGGCTGTCACCATAGAAGTGAGAGGTTGAACTGGATAAGCCCTTATAAGGGTCCATCATTTGAATATGAAGACAGGCACATTATAAATGCTCAAGATATGGCCTATCAGTGTGTGAACTGTTAAAATCATGGCAGTCAGCAGTTAGTATGGAATCTTGAGTGTCATTTTTTGAATGTATTATAAGAGTAATATTAATGACAGTCACATTTTCCCCTGCTGTTGATTGGCTAGATTCTGTCACGTACATGTTTGATTGGCTGAGAGGCTTACAGGAATCATTCCGGAGTGGTGTGTGTATTTTACTGTTGGGTTTAATAAGAGTGTTGAACCTGTGGCAAACCAGATCCGATGGTATTAACCGTCCGTGGTCTTGACCTACGTTACAAAGAGAACACTAATGGTTTGGGTTTGTTTTAACCTTATCTATACATATAACCTTTCAGATTTGCTTTTAGGTGTGGCGGCCATTTTCCTGGCTCCTCTGTTGGGTACAAGTCCCAAGATACTGGTCAATATGTAAGGAGATAGACAGCATTTGCAACCATCTGGTTACGGTAGTGAAAAGAAGTTAAAGACGTCATAATCATCTTTGTCTCGGTTTTATGGCCATGGTATGGAATTAATCAAATATTCATTCCAAATCAGAAAACACTTGAAAATTCAACATATTGTTTTTGAAAAGACATTCAAGTCGAGTAAGTCTAACTTTTGTTGATGAAAATTTCATGTTGTATGGCAATAATTATTGAGGCAGGATAGCACCACATAGACCAAGTTTATCTGTAGAGCTTAGAGAGTAGTCCCTTCATACGGCCAGTGGGAAGTGGATTCAGCAGAGAGTGCTTGGGAAAATGTTAGGATTGCTGCACCATCTTAGCTTGTAGTTGCTAATGTTAACATTACTGTATATTCCTACCTATGCTATTATATGGAGTGGTATTAAAGTGTTAAACTCTGCAATATTAAACATGTGTTTTGTTGTTGCGTTACATCAGATTTGTTCATTCACTCGTCTTGGAGGGGGCCAGGTAGCCAAGTCTTCTATGGTGCCACGACCTGCAGAGTTTTGGCCCTTGGGTATGCCAGGAACCTATGATCGCGTGTTCGAATCCTGGCGCACCCAGATTATGTTACTAGGTTTGTCAGCACTATTCCCATGCTCGTGGGTTTCACGACAGCGATAAACGTCTGCATCACGTGCATCACTTTGGGGTTTCCTCCCACATTAAGATGACATTCCATGACATAACTGGAATACTGTTCAAAGGGACAATATACCCAACTCACAAATACTCCATTATGTGAATTATAATAAAGCATCCCCATGTAGAAGAGGCAGCTTCAAAGTACTGTCAAAATCTTAATGACAACGCTGTTGCTGTTAAACCATTCAGTGCAGTGGTATATTATGAGTTGTACCAGGATCATGAGGGTTACATGGGGATTTATGTGTTAGGTTATATACCACTCCCCTCCAACATATTTCAACATGACATTGTAAAAGAAATAAAACAAATTCAAAATTGATTGAAAACAGCTGTTCGATTGAGCTGGGGTCAACTTGTGCTGTCACGTGACTTCCATTGACTCGGAAAAAGCTCATGGCTTTTTGCTTCAAAGCAGGGTATAAGGCATTTATTCTGCCTTTCAGAAATCCATGTGCCGCCTGACTTGCTCGTGGCAGGGTATAAGAGATTTATTCCCCCACTGGGAAATTTATTTTCCTCTAAGGCGTGCACCAATCAGATCTTATCATCTGACATTGAGGTATGACATGTGTAACATTATAGACCTAGGAACATTTTTCTTATTGACCAGTCATGTCAAGGTTATTCTCAAGGTTTGAAGAAATGTTTGTTTAAACAGTAACTCGAGAAGCACTGACTGTGTCAATATGACTTGGTACATGTCATTCTTGGAGAGGAGTAGTGATAAGAAAAGGTTGAAGCAGGACGGTATAATTAAACACAATCTCATTAAAACCAGACCCTAGTTCTCGCTACTGCTAAACAAAGATCTGATGACATCCCATTAGGGGTCACGTCAGAAAGACTTTTCATCCGACCAATCAGCATCGCTTACCAGATTGTGAAAGTGACAGTCGGAATGTGATTTCTACTCATGCATCCTCGAAAACTTTAACACAGGGTATTCCGAACGATAGTTTCTGGTTTAACGACTGAATCCATCCAATCTAGACCATCTATTAGCCATTCCAGAATGTTCTTTTGTTCAGGTTTCAAATTTGTAATCGAGAATTTGTCAAAATATGTTTCAAAGCGTAGTCGCCAATTTGAAATTAGTGCCGTAACGCACGAGAAAGCTGCCTTCTGATTGGTCATTCCATTGGTCGGTCAAAGTTCGTGCAAGATCGGTCTGATGTGACCTGTAATGGGATGTCCTCAGATCTTTGTTTAGCGGTAGCGAGAACTAAGATCTGATTTTAATGAGATTGAATAAAACACCAAGACAGTTGAGGATCTGTAAAATATGTAATACTGGTTGTGTGGAAAAGGAATATCACTTTTTGTTTATTTGTAAAGAATACGTTAATATAAGGCAACAATATATCCATGAATAGTATTATGTCCATCCAACACTAAATAAATTTAATACTCGAATGTGTGACTATGACCAAACTACAATTAGAAATATTGCCATGTATTTGTATAACACCTTTAATCATTGTGAATCTGTATTATATGCTGTGGACCATTAAATGTACCATGGGCGGTTGGCCTACACATGTACGAATAAATAAAGATATAGAGTGTTTATACATGGGTCAAGGTCACAGTGAAGGTTATTCAACAAGTACGTATGATCAATCTTTTGCAATATGAATTTCTACCTTGATTCAATCAAGAAACCATATAATCTATTTTATGGTCTCTGTTCAACCTAAATAACAAAATAGTTGGTGTCAAAAGTGAAAATGAGTTCAAGGGCAATAAAAATCAAAGTAGATGCAAAATTGAAAAAATACATATTCTTGACCCCACTGCACACTAGCCTGCTAACATTTCTCAATTTATTATATGTAAACATTGGGGAGCAATGGCACAATGAAGGTGTTTGTATATGGCTGTCATGGAAACTAAACTTGACTTCAGGAAGAAATGATTTGAGTGACTTGGGGAGAGGAAAAGTCCAGGAAAAGTTTCACCATCCTACACCTTTTGATATAGGTGACAGTAGGCCAGTGTTTTTGCCAATATCATAAGT